TCCCTTTCTCTCCATCTTTCCTCCATCCATCCCTCTCTCTCTCTCTCTCTGTCCCCCGCCCCCATCTCTAACTCTCCCTCTTCCTCTCCCTCTTCTCCCCATAGCTCTGCTCAGGGATCACCCCTTATGGTGCTTAAGAGTCTGTATGTAATGTCGGGGATCATGCCCAGGTCTGCTGTGTGCAAGGCAAGCGTCCTCGCCCCCACCCCCCGTACTTTCTCTGGGAATATACCTTTCTGAGACGGGGATATGGCTCCGTGACAGAGCCTCTGCCTTGCCTGTTCAGGTCCCTGGGTTAGATTCCCAGCACCGCATGAAAGAAAACAAGCAGCAACAACAAAATTCTGAGTTGACACCTTACGTGTCTGACCCAGGCTGTCGAAACAGAGGAGGGGTCTGCTTTGCCCTGGATGATCAGAGAGTGCCAGCCAGGGCTCATCTCTGGATGGGGGCGCGCAGCTGCCCCCGTGCAACCCCCAGCCGCCTCTCTGTTGGCTGCTCCAGCTACTGACTGAGGCCACCGAGAGCTGGGCCATGTTCCCAAGCTCCTCTCGATTAATTTCCATAGCAGCCCTGTGAGGCCTCTCGCTCTGAGGAAACTGAGCCCAGTGAGATGGGATGACTCATCAGGTCATTTATTTCCTGATAACCACTGAGGAAGTGGCAGAGCCAGGGTTCAGAGCCTGAGGGTCTCAGCTTTGTGCTTTTCAACTGGATTGCATATTTTTTTCCTGTATTGTCTCCTTTGATTCAGTGACTTCTGCTCTAATTTTGTTTGTTGGGTATCTTTTCATTTAGGGCTAGTTCTTGGAAAGGCCTGCTATTGGATTCATTCTCTTTCTTTCATTGAAAAGCAGCGTAGCGTCCTGACAAGTGCATGGATCCCACCTTTGGCTTGCATTTGGCCGTTGTCCATTTTTATTTGAGGGGGTGGGGGATGGGAAAGGTGAACGTTGACATCTCTGATGCCTGATAGCTTTGCTGTTAAGTGACAGCCTTAACTGGGCGCATGTCATGGGGCTGATCATAGCACACCCTGCGTCACAATTCGTTGGTGTATATTTGCCCTTTTCACTTGTAATTTGATGGGAAAATTCCATGTCTCTGACCTGTATGTGTTACCAGCATCCTAAGCACAGCGTCATGGGCACAGATGTCCACAAATTTCTCATGATTTCAAGTAGCATCATGTATGAAACCACAAGTAGCCTCATATGTATAATCACAAGTAGTCACATGTATGTAAAAACACTGTATCTGTCTCAGTTGTCACACTGTTTAAAGAGCCTCCATTTCATCTCTCTTTTCTTTCCCTTTTCCTTTCCAGATATGTGAACTAACTGTATTTCTCTAAAAAATGGTATGAACACATGGCATAGTAGAAATGCTTGCACTTTGGTACAGTGTTTGATTTAAAGAAACAGGAAAAGCAGATTTTATCGTCTTTTGCTATTGTTGTTGCTTTGATAGTAAAAAGTAAAAATCTCACTTTCACTATTTTCAAGAGAAGTTAGTATCAGATCCTATGTCTCTTACCATGAACAAGAGAAAATTTCCACTTTTGATGAGCAAGATTATTATTTTTTAAAGAAATCTTATTTGAAGTGAGAGGAAAGAAAACACACTTAAAAGAGAATTTCAGTTTCTCCAGGGAGGTAAGAATGCCTTGAAGCAAGAGAAAGGAATTCACATCTGAAGAAGCTGGGATGTAGTGATTCCAGAGTGGAATGTGCCAGGAATAAGTACTTATGTTTAGCTTTATAATAAGGAGTGGGATTTCCAAGAGTAAATACCCAGTATGAATGGAATTTTTGCATAAAACAAACTTGAAATAACTGCTGCTAAGATATGTGTAGAATTTATGCACTACATTGTATTTTAATATTTACAGTTGCATTACAGTTTGTTACATTTCACATATATTTCTAAAAGTATATTCTATTTATTAAGGTAAGTTTCATAAAGAGAGGAATATTTTATTTGCCACATCCAGGCAAGGTTCTTGGTGCCTGGAATAGTGGCTAACACCTAACCATTTAACCCTTTTTTGCTTTTTGGGTCACATCTGGTGTTGCTCAGGGGTTACTCCTGGCTCTACACTCAGGAATTACTCCTGGCGTCAATCCTTTTTTATTCAGATGTATGAATCAGGACAGATGACCCGAACAGTCATAGTTCACAGAGCTGAAAATCAGAGAACCCTTTTATAGAGTTTGGTCTTCTCTTCCACCATTTTTGGATCCTGGCCCAAATCATTACTGTCAGTTCTGGAAAGTCTTTTTGTTGTAGGAAAGTGGGCTGAATTATTTCTTGCCGAATGAGGTTTCTAAGCCCACAATTTGACGAAGAATGTGAGGATCAAATCATATGTTTGTGCAGCTACTTATGAACACCCTGGTACAGAAATATCCTAAGTGCGTATAAATAGGTTGAAAGGGCAGCCAACAAATCACGTAGGCCAGCCAGTCTTCCTTGCGAGCTGGGCAGACCCTTCCCCGTGGCTGGCTGGAACAAGTTGTCCACTGGGGACTTTTACTCAACCAAAAAATATTTTTTTAAATAGAAAAACTCATTGGAAAGTAAAAGGGAAAAGAGGAGCAACTCTCCAGCAGCAGAGGAACCTAGTATAGGACTAAGTTCTACTCTGCAGGCATTGTGCCTCTTTGCACAGGTGTCTGCTAAGCCTGGTAGTAGGAGAGTGAAGAATATTACCCTAATTTTTGTTGAAAAATTTTAAGTCTTAAAAGAAGAATTAATTGCATTTAGGGTTTTCCCATATTTTAATTTAATTCAGTTTAATTTTGTTAAAAACATTTTGTCGCTTGTAAAATATGCTCATTACTTGCCTTAACTTATTTCAGTTTTTATGCCTTTTCCTTTGACAAATTCCCTTTAATTTGTTCTAAAAATTTGAGGTTTCATGGAAAAGCTTCTGCCTTCACTGGGTGGGGCGATTTGCAACGAATATAAAAACAGAGATGCCACTTAGTATAAATTACTGCTAATTACATAAAAACAATTTTCTTTTAGAAATTTTATTGAATTATTTTTCATGGTGCTTGGATCAAACTCAGGGCACCACACACATAAGGTAAACTTTACCAAGTGGTAAACCAATACTAAACCAAAAAGTTTAAGGTAAAGTTTACCAGTTGGTAACGAGGCACATTCCCAGCCCCCTAAAAATTATCTACCTGAGTTGTATTTTTCTTCTAGTAGACCAAAAATACTTCATTTTGAATACCATCTGTGCACATATATTTTTAAAAAATATTAAAGAATAGGGCTGGAGAGATAGCACAGCGGGTAGGGTGTTTGCCTTGCACACGGCCAACCCGGGTTCGATTCCTCCGCCCCTCTCAGAGTGCCCGGCAAGCTACAGAGAGTATCTCACCCGCACTGCAAAGCCTGGCCAGCTACCCGTGACATATTCGATATGCCAAAAACAGTAACAACAAGTCTCACAATGGAGACGTTACTGGGCCTGCTTGAGCAAATCGATGAACAACAGGAAGACAGTGCTACAGTGCTATTAAAGAATAACATATAGTTAAAGTAATTTTCATATGACATGGAATATGCCATAAACATCCTGAGTAGGGTTGCTGGGACAGCTGGGGGTACTCAGGGCTTCTCATGTCTCTTTGGCAGGGGGTAAGTGCTGGCAGTGCTCGGGAACTCATCTATAGGGTCAAGCTGGGGTCAGCAGCATGGAAGGCAAGAGTTTTAATCTCTCCAACCCTAAATATTCTTTTTATCTCTTGAACTTCAGGCTGTCAGAAGGGAACTCAGAACTCTTGCTTTCTGCAGAAACTTCGTCTCGTGTCATTTTGAATGCCGTAACCCTATTAAGTTAACTTGTGCTAGGGGCTGGAGAGATAACATCCAGACGGCAGGATGTGTGTCTCTTACATGGCCGACCTGGTCTGATTCCCAGCACCCCAGATGGTCCACCAAGTACTGCCAGTAGTGACCCCTGAATACAGGGCTGGGAGTAAAGTCTGAGCACCACTGGCAGTGGCTCAAGAGAAAACAAGTAAACAACTTTTTCTGGGGGTCAGAGGGAGTACAGGACTAAGGCACTTGTCTTCCTTTTTTTTTTTTATTTGCTTTTAGGGTCATACCCAGTGATACTCAGGGGTTACTCCTGGCTCTGCCCTCAGGAGTTATTCCCGGCAGTGCTCAGGGGACCATATGGGATGCTGGGAATCGAACTTGGGTCAGCTGCATGCAAGGCAAATGCCCTGCCCGCTCTGCCATCACTCCAGCCCCTTAGGCACTTGTCTTGCATGTAGCTGATCCTGGTTCAGTCCCTGGCAGTGTGTGTGTGTGTGTGTGTGTGTGTGTGTGTGTGTGTGTGTGTCCCAACAGGTGTGATCCCCAAGCACAAAGCCAGGAGTAAGCTCTGAGGTAGATGTGCCACTACCCCCCAAAATCAACAACAAAAATTGATTCACTTAATTTCTGTGTGTGTGTGTGTGTGTGTGTGTGTGTGTGTGTGTGTGTGCACATGCATGCATGTATTGGGGCATAGATCAGAGCCTCACACTACAAACCATGCACTCTACCACTAAACTGCATCCCCAATGCAGCCTAGTTAATTGATATTCAAGAGATATAAATCTTTCAAAAACATACTTTAATTATAAAACAAAAGTATATTTTTATAGTGGAATAGAACTAAGAGTTCGTATATCAACAATCAAAAGACTTTGAACAAGATGAACAAGACCTATGGATGAGGAAAAAGATAGTTTTTCAATAAATGACCCTGGAACAACTAGATTGCTACATTATACATTATGAATATAACAGTGATTTATACATTTTAACAGGACTTAAATAATTTCTTTTATATGAATTTTATTTCAGCATTATTTCAAATAAAAGAGCATGCAGTAAAGTAAAACTATATTTGTAAATTGTCATTTTCATAAAGTATTTTTTGATTGATATCTCGATATGTCTCCGCCTAAGTGTCTTCTATATCTTCCCTTTAGGATGCTAGGAAGGCTTGTAATGATGCGACGCTCATTCAGGTAAGGCGGTCTTTACCCCTGATTCATTTTAGTAATGCACAGGAAATAGATTAACTGATGTAGATGACATTTAGATTCTTTCATCTGATTGGAAAAATCAAGTGAAATCTCTATTTTAAAACTTTGTAATTTGTCAGCCATTGTGCAAATGCTCTTTAAAACATACCTGTTCAAACAGGTGTCTGTAAAAGAAAATTGCTGCCATAAATGTACATAGGCAGCATGTGTGTATGTAGATTTATGCAGGTTTTCTTTTTTAAAATAGTTTCTCATTCTTTTTGATATTACCTGATTGTTTCCCCCCCATATAAATTTTTAGGAAAATTTTATTAGTTTAGATTCGCTGTCACTTTCACTGTCCTCCCATTGTTCATCAATTTGCTAGAGCGGGCACCAGTAACGTCTCCATTGTGAGACTTGTTGTTACTGTTTTTTGGGATATCGAATACATCACGGGGAGCTTGCCAGGCTTTACTGTGCTGGTGGGATATGCTTAGTAGCTTGCCGGGCTCTCCGAGAGGGGCAGAGGAATCGAACCTGGGTTGGCTGCATGAAAGGCATACCCACTATGCTATCATTCTGGCCCATTAGTTTAGATTAATACCTTTTATTTATTTGTTTTGTTCTTAGGTAACACCCAGCAGTGCTCAGGGCTTATTCCTGGCTCTGCTCTCAGGAATTACTTCTGGCAGGCTTGGGGCACCATGTTGGATACTGGGGATCGAACCTGGGTTGGCGTGGTCATGGCAAGCACCCTACCCTCTGTGCTATCTCTTCAACCCCTAAATTAACATTATTTATTGCTGAGGATTTTAATGTGCTGTTAAGCTATAAGCTTGGCTTTACTCTGAACAAAATGATAACTGTTTTACTCTTTATGTATTAGATTCTCATTAGTAGCATTTTTTTACTAAAGTAAAAGCTTTGTCAATTCTTATTAACATTCTGCATATCAAAATAACGACTACTCTTTGTCTATTCGAATTTCACAGAAAAAAATTTAATTACAGCTTCTTTTTTAAAAAAGCTGGGAGTTGTGTCAATTCTTGAAAATAGTCTACAGGAGGGGCTGGAGTGATAGATAGTACAGCGGGGAGGGCGTTTGCCTTGCACGTGGCTGATCTGAGTTCAATCCCTGGCCTCCCATATGGTCCCCCAAGCACCATCAGGAGTGATTCCTGAGTGCAGAGCCAGGAGTAACCCCTGAGCATTGCTTGATATGACCCAAAAAGCAAAAAAAAAGAAAGATTTTGAAAAAATAGTCTACAGGAGATCCTTTCTTGCATTGGTCCTGAAATAACTCCATGGCATTATTAACATTAACTTCATTTGCTATAAGTTGCTATCTTTCCCGGGTGCCCTCCAAAGCAGTGATCAGGGCCACAGGGGCCGGTGCTGGCAGTGCTCAGTCAGCTGGCATGGCGGTTCATTGCTCAGGCCAGCAGTGCAGTCCTGCTCAGGCCGCTGATGTTGGGGGCAACGGACAGTGTTTGGGGGATTCATGGCAACACCCACTGCTGCTCAGGGGACTGTGGCATGTTAGGGCCAAACTTGGTCCTTTTACAGGCAAGGCATGTGCTTCTAACCACTGAGCTATTTTCCTGGCCCTTTAACTCATTTTAATTTTTTTGATGTTTAAAAGTATTTTTTATTTAAGATTGTTTTAAAGAATTGGATATAGTGTTATCTGTCACAGCTCTTTTCCTGTTTTTTGTTTGTTTGTTTGTTTGTTTGGCTTTTCAGGTCACACTTGGCAGACCTGGGCTCAATTCCTCTGTCTCTCTCGGAGAGCCTGGCAAGCTACTGAGAGTATCCGCCCACACTGCAGAGCCTGGCACGCTCCCCGCAGTGTATTCAATATGCCAAAAACAGTAACAAGTCGCACAATGAAGATGTTACTGGTACCCGCTTGAGCAAATCGATGAACAATGGGAGGACAGTGCCACAGTGCAATTTTTTTTTAAGTTTGGGTCATTGGAGGCTGGGGAGACAGTACAGTAGGCAGGGTGCTTTTCTTGTATTTGGCCAACCTGGATTCAATCCCTGGCACCCTATATTGTCCCTTATGCACTGCCAGGAGTGATTTCTGAGTGCAGAACCAGGAGTTAGTCCTGAGCCCCACTGGGCTTTGCCCCACAAACAAACCCAGAAAAAAAAATTTCAGGGCATATAACATAATGATTATATATAGTGAAATGAATATCACAGTAGCTTCAGCAAACCTCCATCTTCTTGCACAAATATAAAGATAAAGACGAAATAAGAGAAGGAAAAAGATTCCTCTTTAGAACATTTAGAAATTATTACTGTTGTGTTTGGGGGCCACACCAGGCTCTGCGTAGGATACTCCTGGCTCAGTGCTCAGAAGTCACTTCTGGAGGTGATTTGAAATACCCTGGAGTGCTGGGGTCAGAGCCCAGGCCCCTCAGACTTCTGCAGACAAAGCATGTGCTCCAGCCCCCGGGCCATGGCGCCAGCCCAGAACTGAGTCCTCTAGCTGCCGGCTGTGCATCATAGAGCAGTTCCTGCCCTGGCTGTCGTGTATGCTGCATCCCTGCTCCTTGTTTTGCTTTTCACTGGAGGTTTGCTGCCTTTGCCACCTTTCTTTGATTCCCCCTCCCCTCTGTCTTTTTTTTTTTTGCATGTGTATAATTTTTATTAGTGTGAGGGATAGTGGTTGAGACTTAGAGAACATCACAAGTAATAAAGCAGCCCAGGTCATGGATTTCACCTGCTAATTCTTTCTCACTTACGGTGTCTTTCAGACTGTGGCAGAGGTCAGGAATAACGTTTCTTTTTTTGCTTTCTAAAGATCACATCGAACATGGACTCCGTGGGCCGCATTCAGATGCGAACACGCCGCACCCTGCGGGGCCACCTGGCCAAGATCTACGCAATGCACTGGGGATATGATTCACGGTGCGTACCTGCCCTGTCCTCTCTGCAGAGTCGTCAGCCACTACCAGACCTTGCCTTTTCTGTGTTCAGAAATAAAATCCGTATGAAATACTTGCAGAAAATCAACACCTTAAATTTCCTCAAATATAACTTTAAAGTAGAACTTTATAACTCTAAAAGTAAATTTTCCTCTCAAAAATATGTCCTACCATATGATCCAAAAAATCTGATTAGAAAAGGATTTTTTTTCCCCCTCTCTGGTGCAAGGTATTCAGTTTCATTCGTCCATGTGCCAGATGCAATTTTGTTACATGTCAGCCTTGAGATTTCAGTTAAGACTTACATACTTGATTAGAACCTTCTGTGTTTCTCTTATGGGATATTGCTATATTTGTGTGTTTCCTCCATTCATAAGGAATATAACTTAAAATAATTGGTAACGGGGCTGGAGCAATAGCACAGGGGGTAGGGCATTTGCCTTGCATGCAGCCGACCCAGGTTCAATTCCCAGCATCTCATATGGTCCACTGAGCACTGCTAGGAGTAATTCCTGAGTGCATGAGCCAGGAGTAACCCCTGTGCATCGCCGAGTGTGACCCAAAATGCAAAAAAATACTGTAGCACTGTCCTCCCGTTGTTCATCGATTTGCTTGAGCTGGCCCAGTAACGTTTCCATTGTTAGACTTGTTACTGTGTTTGGCATATCGAATATGTCACGGGCAACTTGCCAGGCCTTGCTGTGCGGGCGAGATACTCCCAGTAGCTTGCCAGTTTCTCAGAGAGGGGCGGAGGAATCGAACCCAGGTCGGCCAGGCTGGCTGTGTGCAAGGCAAGGCAAATGCCCGACTAAAAGTTAAAAATTAAAAGAAAAAATTGATAATATAATTGACAGAATAAAAACCATTTTCGTTGTCTGCCCCTTCTGTCTGAGTTGGGGCTGGAAGGTGGGTGTCTGGTTTACTGCACTGTAGATTGTGCGTGGTCTGTGCTTTGGCAGAGTGTCTGGCTCTAAATGGTAAGCCTGCTGCCATAGACGTCGAGCCATTCTTTGATTTGGCAAATATTACTAGGAAAAATGACACATAGGGATTTTTGTTTGTTTTGGGGACACATCAGGCTGTGCTTGGGGCTCCTCCCATCTTGCTGCTCAGGAAACCATGTGTATGCTGGGGGTGGAGCCCACGCCTCCTGGGCTTTGTGTCTGGTCCAGAAATGACGATCACTTTCTTTTGTGAAGGTAGTGACTTTATTTAAATAAATTTACTTAGAACCGGGAGGAGGGGAGGAGATTGGTTTAAGAGAACACAGGGAACATGGGCTTCTCCTAAGTGCCAAAAATCCAGAAGTAATTTTTTTAGTTATAGAAGCTGTATTTATTATAGCTTCTGGAGAAGTTCAGGGGACCATGGCCAGTGTTAGGGACCAAACTGGGGTCCACTGCATGTAAAGCAAACACCTTTACCACTGTGTGGGCTGTCTTCCAGATGACTGATTTTTAAAAAAAGAAATTAGAAGTAGGTAGAGGCTCCATCCTACCATTGGATCTTCCAATTCATAAAGACATATCAATAGTTAAAAGACATATTAATAGCTGCAAGAACTAATTATGTTATTTTCCAAATGAGGAAGAGACCTGGTGACTGGGTCATCTTTTTTTTTTTTCATTGTACATACTTTTGTATATTTTGGATCCTGTGTGATAGTAAAATAAAATTCTAAGACAATGCAAGAAAAATCTCAAGGAGCACCAGCACTTAGATAGGAGTTCATACTTATCCAAACAAAACAAAGCTTTAGTGTTTTGTTTTTTTAAAACCCAATTTATTTTTCTCAACTGTTATTTCCCCACTTCGCACAAACTACTGGAAATTTAATCATTCTTGAAACACCCACTTGTATTTTTCCACTTGTCATCATTGATCATATCCTCAGAATGTACATTTTTTTCTGACTTTAGCTCTCAAAACTCTCTTTTTTAACACAAATGGTCTGTTGTCAGATATTACTTGATTAACACAATTCCCAGTTATTTTTCCCTGTCACTTTATATGGCATTTATTTTATATAATGCACTGACAGCTTTCACTCACTTGGGTGTGTATGTGTGTGTGTGTGTGCGTGTGTGTGTATGTGTGTATGTGTGTCTTACCTCCACCAGAGGTAAGGGAAGGCAAGACTTGCTACTAGTTTTTTTGATTGACTCACGTAAGATACATAGTTACAAAGCTGTTCATGATCAGGTGTCAGTCGTACACTGATCCAACACCCATCCCTCCACCAGTGAGACTTATTTCTAATGTCCACTACACCTTAAGGGCAAGGCTTATTTCTCACATTGTGCTGTGACACTATCTTGAATTTAACTGACTCAATTGTTAATATTAGATTGAAAGAAAGATGCTTGATAGGCTTATATTTGCTCCATGTTGCCAGATTTAAGATAGTAAATACTAAACACATCAACTGATATTTATCAAAATCTTGAGTAAGTACTAGATTGTTGTCATCATGTAAAAATGGAATCATAGACACTTTTAGTAAAAAAAAGTCTAAATTTTACCTTGTTTTAAGTTGAACATTTTTGGCATGCAGAGTAGATTTAGTTGGAAGGATTTCTTTGGTCTCCAATTTTTAATTAAATATTGTACTTTTGTTTTCTGAACTACATCAGTGTAAAATGTCTATGTAGTAAGGTGTAACAAATTTAACCCACTTTTGTGTGTGTTTTTCTAGGCTACTAGTCAGTGCTTCCCAAGATGGAAAATTAATTATTTGGGATAGCTATACAACAAATAAGGTAATATCTCCTTAACTATTTTTTTAGTTAACTTTGTATTTTACTTGATGTTCACCAATGCTCTTTATTTCCTCCCTTGCTTTGTTCAGTGTTACATTGAAGGAAATATTTTTGAGGACTGGTATAAAAGTAAATCATTTCATCCTTTAATAACATGATTAAAATAGTTATTTTGGCATATCTTAATATAAGTCTGAGTTGTAAGAAGAACTCTTTTTACACATTGGAATCATGTGCTATGGCCGTTGTTTCAAACCAGGAGGTCTTTTGGTAAACATCACTTAATTATTTTATTTCATATTATATTCACTCTCTTAAGGCATTGCATTCTCAATTTGACTTATTTTTCTTAGATGCATTTCATTTTCGTAAGTGCGCTGCTCTGTTAATGGGCTTTTAAAGTCAGTAGCTGTTCTGTGGTCTGAGGAGCAGTTCCTAATGCGCTGTGTTGGTTCCACAGATGCACGCTATTCCCTTGCGCTCCTCCTGGGTGATGACTTGTGCTTATGCGCCCTCTGGCAACTACGTTGCTTGTGGAGGTCTGGACAACATCTGCTCCATCTATAACTTAAAAACCAGAGAAGGCAACGTGAGAGTGAGCCGAGAGTTACCTGGTCACACGGGTGAGCGGCATGACATATTCCCCCTTTCCTCCCCAACCCGACTCCTGGCAAACGAGCCCAGCCAAGACAGCGCAAGACCGTGCTCCACTGGCCGGAAAGAGGAGTATTAGTCAAGTGACAGCAGGACAGATATGGCACCCGGGAGCCCTGACTCTTCATCATCTGACAAATGATGGCTATGATTCTGTTTTCTGTAATGCAGAAAGCAGGAAGCTGCTGCTTTGTTTCTGTGAGAAGGAAAAATGTATTGCCAGATTATCCACATGAATGAACAATGCAAGGAACAAAGCGAATATAATTTTCTGCATTCTTTGTCACCACATAACAATTTTGGTTCTTGGTGCTTGTCTTAAAGTCGAAAATCTGGGCCCCGATAGAAGTCTTTTTCATTATGTGATAGTGCCTGGCTTCCTCTGTCAAGTGAGCTGAGCTTAGCAGAACCTAACTGGATGGCATTTAGTTGGCAGTGTTTATTCGAGATATATCGCCACTCCTCTGTTTTCTGCCTGTCTCAATTCTTGGCAGTATTATTTTTTGTTCATCCTTTTTTTTTTTTTTGGTTACACCGGGAGGTTCTAAGTAATGAACAAAAGGCCTCGAGGTCACTCCTGGGGAAGCTACCAGGTGGGCCAGCCATTTCCGTGCTGGGGCCCAGCCATGGACTGGTGCTTGCCTGGCAATGCTGAGGACCAGCAGGGCCCCTCACAGTTGACCAGGCATACTGTTGTTTTTAAACCAAATGTTTATAATGACATTTTCCTGCCATGTCTGTATTTTGAAACATTGCTGAAATTACTGGATATTCAAATGCCACCCATGGTTGGAAGACTTCTCTAAGGTTATTGTAATTTCTCACAATGCTTTTTATTTACCTATTTTTTTTTTTTTGCTTTGGGGTCCACCTAGTGATAGTCAGGGACTACTCCTGGCTGTGTGTGCAGAGGTGACTCTCAGGGGTGTTGGGGGGATCATTTGTCAGGAATCAAACTGTGACATCCACGTACTAAGCCTGCATTCAGCCCATTGAGCTGGTTTTGATTTTTTGTATGTTTTGTTTTTGAGCTACACCTAGCTATGGTAAGAGTAAGGATGGAGTTGCTCTTAGCTCTGTGCTCAGGGATCAGTCCTGGCAGACTCCAGAGGCCACAAGGAGTGCTGGGGATAAAACCTGGGTCAGCTGCATGCAAGGCAAGTGCCCTGCCCACTGTGCTATCACTCTGGCCGCTGAGCTGTTTTTATCCCCCCGGCCCTCTCACAAAGTTTGTTTTCAGTCGCAGAGATGCTTCTTAACCAGTCTATGGCAGGATCCAGTAATTTGCATAAAGGAATGACTATCTCCTGAGGCAGAGGATGACCTTTCTTAGGCAGCTGTAGTAGGTATGGAGACGTCATGTCCTACTGAACTTCAGAGTGCCCGCTTGTTCCTAGCCAGGAAGTTGGTTGATAGAATCTAGTCGCAGGCCTGGGGAGATTCTCAAGTGGCAGAGCAAAGGTCTGGAGCCCTGGCACCCAACACCATCAGCCTCGTGGCTGAACAAACAAAGAAAAATATTAGAGCAGTGTGTGAGTACTTAAGACATAGAAACAGAGAGTATACTAATGAATGTTTGCTGCCTGTGGACCATTTTAAAAGATTAATATGTCATCATTTCCTGTGATGACCCTTTCCTGCTACTTTCTGCCTGCAGGCTACTTGTCCTGCTGTCGTTTTTTGGACGACAGTCAAATTGTGACGAGTTCAGGAGATACAACCTGGTAAGTTCGCTCCAGAGGAGCACTTAATTTTCGGGGCCAAGGGGCAGTGGGAGCAAAGGTCAGAGGCGGTCAGAGCGGGTCACTGTGTGTGCTGTTTTTCCCACCGTAGTGCTCTGTGGGACATCGAAACCGCCCAGCAGACCACCACATTCACCGGGCACTCGGGCGATGTGATGAGCCTGTCCCTGAGCCCTGACATGCGGACTTTCGTCTCTGGTGCTTGTGACGCCTCCTCCAAACTCTGGGATGTTCGAGACGGCATGTGTCGGCAGTCTTTCACAGGCCACGTGTCCGACATCAATGCTGTCAGTGTAAGTGCCTGGCATTTCTCAGGAGGAATCGCTGTGGCACTGCCACGCGTGAATTGGGGAGACACAGCACAAGGCTGTTGTGCATGCTTTGCACGAGAGGCCGAGGTTCCATCCCCCTGACTCTCAACCCTGCAAGGTTCCCTGAGCACCCCAGGAGCAATCCCTGAGCATGAAGCCAGGAATAGCCTGGCTAAGCACAGCTGGTTGTTGCCAAACCAGTAAGTAAATAAGTGTGGAATTCCATAGCATTATTTTTGGTTTATGTGTGAGCCATACCCAGGGATGCTCAGGAGGTACTCTTGGTTCTCCACTCAGGGATCACTACTGGTGGTACATGGGGGACTATGGATGCCGGGGATCCAACAGGGTTGGCCTCATGCAAGAGAAGCACCCTGTCTGCTATGCTGTCTCTTCAGCCCCTCTATAGCATGATATTTTTTCCTTTTTGAGTCACTCCCAGCGATGCTCAGGGTTTACTCCCGGCTCTGCACTCAGGAATTACCCCTGGTGGTGCTTAGGAGACCATATGGGATGCTGGGAATCGAACCTAGGTCAGCCGTGTGCAAGGCAAACACCCTACCCGCTGTGCTATTGCTCCAGCCCCTATAGCATGATTTTTAACAATAAATTGTACCAAAGAAATCTATAGATAATGTGCTCTTGTATCTCCAAATAATATGTCTGATTTTATCTCCAAATAATTAGGGGGATCATGATTGACAGGAATTATTTTTGGGTTTTTTTTGGGGGGTTGGGGGGCATTTACTCCTGCTCAGCACTCAGAAATCACTCCTGGTGGTGCTTGGAAACAATGTGGGATTTTGGGAATCAACCTGGGTTGGTTGTGGGCAAGGCAAGTGCCCTATGTGCTGTACTATTTTTCTAGCCCCTCATTAGGGGTTTTTATTTATTTATTTATTTATTTATTGCTTTTTGGGTCACACCCGGCATTGCACAGGGGTTACTCCTGGCTCATGCACTCAGGAATTACTCCTGGCGGTGTTCAGGGGACCATATGGGATGCTGAGAATCGAACCCGGGTCAGCCATGTGCAAGGCAAACGCCCTGCTCGCTGTGCTATTGCTCCAGCCCCTAATTAGGGTTTTTTTTTTTTAATGAAAATGTTTTTAGGTTTTCTTTCCATGGGATTATTTGGTGGTGGGGGCAGGGGGCTCCCAAGTGGTCCTCAGGGGCTACTCCTGGCAACTGGCAACTGATTCAGCAGTTCAGAGGAAGGCCTAAAGCGAAGGTGCTGCTCTGGTGCTGCAGTGCTGGAGACCACAGGGCCTTAGGGCGGCACCGCTAGGCTCAGGAGAGCACACGGTGCTGGGCATCCAGCCTGAGTTGCTTCTCAGGGGCCTGAACCCCAAGACTGTCTCTACAGCACGAGGAAGCTTGGTTGGTTTTTTTGTTGTTGTTTCTCTTTTCTGGTGATTGAACTGTACCCAGCTGTGCTCCGGTCTTACTCCTGGTTCTGCACTCAGATCACTCTTGGTGGGCTCAGGGGGTCTTGGGACCATACTGGGTGCCAGGGACTGAAGCCAGGTCAGCCTTATGCAAGGGGATCCCCACTTGGATCAGAGGGGAACAACCCATCAAAGAACAGTCAGACAAGACAACCATTTAGAACTTTAGAACATTGCGGGAGGCTGGAACAGTAGTATAGCAGTAGTACAGTGGTACAGCAATAGTACCCCTCCCTCTCTCCATCCACCCTTCTGCCCTCCTTCCCTCCCTTCCTCCCTCCCTCTCTCTCTCACACACATACTCTCTCACTCTATCTCCCTTCCCTTCCCTTCCCTTCCCTTCCCGTCCCGTCATTATGGTTTATGGTACAGGTACTTCCAGGTTGTCATGTATATCCCTTTACCTACTTTCAGCACTCAGTTCTTATTCAGACTTATAATTTCCAACTGCCATTGTCATAGTGGTCCCTTCTCTATCCTAGCTTTCTTTAAAATTTTTTTTCTTTTTTGTTCTGTTTTGGTGGTGGTGCTCAGGGATTACTGGTCATAGCTTGGGCGACCATGTGGAGTGTCAGGGATCAAACTTGGGTTTGACTGCATGCCAGGCAAGCGTCCTGCCCACTGTACTGTCTGGCCTCTTTAAAACAAATTTTTTTTTAGTTTAGTTCATTTTAATTTTCTCTTTGGTCTATTTTGGGACCACACCTGGTAGTGCTCAGGGACTCCTCCGGTTCTGTGCTCAAGGGACATGCACTCTGTGAACCAGAGCAGAGTCTCCTGCATGCCAGATGTGTGTTGAGCCCAGTGAGCTATCTCTCTGGCCCTCTAAAAAATTTTTTTAATTGATATAACACGTTTACAGATGTACTGATGTTTTCTGATCTTGGTGTATTTAATCCACTTACATCCATCCCAATGCATTACCCAGTTGGCTGCTGCCACCTGTGAGTGTGGTTCTCCTGGAATGAACACATGTTGCTTTCCTTTCTAGTTTTTCCCAAATGGCTATGCTTTTGCCACTGGCTCTGATGATGCCACTTGCCGCCTCTTTGATCTGCGTGCTGACCAGGAGTTGCTCATGTATTCTCATGACAATATCATCTGTGGCATCACGTCCGTGGCCTTCTCCAAAAGTGGGCGCCTCCTCTTAGCTGGTTATGATGACTTTAATTGTAATGTGTGGGACACACTGAAAGGAGACCGTGCAGGTGAGTAAATCGCTGTGCCTGTCCTGGTTTCGTTTTTTAAATTTTGTGTGTGTGTGTGATTTTTATACATTTTATCTTCATAAAGTAGTTCACAATAGTTAATTACAGGTGATATTCAAACACCCACCCCACCAGTGAATGTCTTCCCACCACAATAAGAGGGAGTGTGTGAAGGCTGTTGTATTTCATTCTGGGGCCATTTAAGCCCATATATAAGAGAATACAAGCAGGTATGTTCAAACCAAACAAGTGTGTGCTACTTTAGGGACATCAGTGGGCTAGAGTATATAGAATTCCAGGAAATACTGCGTTACTCTCTTTGGAGAGCTTTGTTTTATAGTTTCTGGATCTTGGCTCCTGATGAGATTGCATGGCGCCGGGGGTGCGGGGCACAGTTTATGGGTGTGACTGCCAAGTTACTGGAAAACTGGGGAGCTGGGGGTGGGGGGAGGAGGCGCAGTCCCGACCCGAGCAGGAGATCTCAGCCCCGGGTCCCGCTCACCTGGGATCCTCTGCCAGTCCCTTCATGAGAATGTGTGGGGAGTGGCCTTGGGCATGGCGGCAGTTGGGTTCTGGAGGTTTTCGGCTGCCAGGGTTCTGCTTAGGGCGGGGAGGGAAACTCAGCCCGCCCCCCTCTGAGGTGCCTGGTGAAGACAGCCTGGCGCAGGGGCAGGAGATTCTGCCTTTAAATTTTTTTAAATTTGAGGTACCATGACGGACACGACTGTTCACATTAGGGTTCCGTGTAGCACACAGCACACCCTCCAGCAGAGCGCGCCACAGGAAGCCTCAGTCTGTGGACCAGTTCCCAGGCGCTGTGGCCGTTGGCCGTTTGTGACTCACCTGCTGTACTCTCAGTTATGATTTTGTCAGCACCCAGAAAGCAGTTCCCCTCAGGCCTTCCTAGCACCCCAGAGCTGCGAGGAATTGGCCATATGGCGGGTCTCATTCACCGTCACTGTTGTCCTGTATGTACCTCCTGTCCCTCACGTGTGCTGAGATTTCCCTGCTCTGAAGAGCAACGTCTGTTACTTTAAGATCAGGTCAATTTTGCTATCCATGGAATAATAACTACAATGCAGTGTCTTTGCAGATGACACAGGGCTGTTCCCCTCATCAGTGGACTCCAAAGCTCTCCCAGCTTCCCCCCATCTTCCCCCCCACACCCCAAATGCGTGTGTGTCTCCATCATGCCAGTCTGGACGGGTTTAAAGTAAAATGATACCGAGGGATTGAAACTTCTTCTTTATGGGGCTGGAGCAACAGGACAGTGGGTAGGGCGTTTTCCTTGCACGCAGCCAACCCAGGTTCGATTCCCAGCATCCCATGTGGTCCCCTGAGCACCGCCAGGAGTAGTTCCTGAGTGCGAAGCCAGGAGTAACCCCTGTACATTGCTGGGTGTGACCCAAAAAGAAAAAAAAAAACTTCTTTAGGCTCAAAATCATACCTCCACAACTGCATCATTCGAAACAGCTTATTACCATAACAGAGCAGCTCCCAACCACAGTTTCTATTTTCTGCTCCCCAGAAAGGGGTTTCCATGATTTACCTCGCCATAAAGAGCAGGCAGAGGCTATTATTTAATTCTTAGAAGAACAAAGAGGGGTCCGCTGTTGTTTTCCTGTTGCCATGGACACTGAGGGTTTTCTAAGCACTGTAGACCTTCCGTTTCCACCTTTTCCCAGGGAGGAAACTTCTCAGCCCCTCCATGTTGACATTACTATGGTCTTTGTAGCTGTGGTTCCTGCTGAGCGCTGAGGCACACATTCTGTGTTCTCCAGAGTTCCATTCTTTTCCTTGACAGTCCTAGGTTGGGAGCTTCCCTTTTAAAAGGTCTAAGAGTAGAGCCGTTTTCATTCATTTCTGCTGGGCGTTTGGCAGGATTTTTTCTGTCTGGAGATAGCTCTCCCGAGGCCCCCCAACTAATTTTTTTTCCAGTGCACCCATTTAGGTCTTTTTTTTTTTTTTGCATGTGTCTGTCTAATTCTAAAACTCTCCAGTTGCTAACCTGACTGCATTTTCACCCTCAGGTGTTCTTGCTGGTCATGACAACCGTGTCAGCTGCTTAGGTGTAACTGATGACGGCATGGCTGTGGCCACAGGCTCGTGGGACAGTTTTCTGAGAATCTGGAATTAAATAATGTCTTGCATAATTTCTATTCTCCATTGATATCTGGAGGAATCAGTGCTACAGCTATAGCTGCGGAAAAAAATCCTACCTTCTATTTGCTAGTGAAGATTTTTCTATTGAGCCTATGATGAACAAAATGAAATTTCAGTAAACTTCAACACAAGATGAAAAACAAAAGGTGAAGGTGCTTGCTGAGATCAAAGGATGGGGGTCTTTGAAGAGTTGAGTTTATTTAGCATGGATGAATTTTTGTTTGTACTCAGTCAAATCCTTTTCTTTGGAAAAATGTCCACATTATAGCAGCCTACCATGTTTGATTGCTTATTTGTATTTTTTCTTTAAAGAACTGCATTTAAAATTTTGTGTATGTAAGCCATGTCCTATTTTTGAGTTTTGTAATGGAGAAACCAAGCAGACTCAGAGGGTGGAAATGATACGGTGTATCCCTGTGTATGTAGAGAAGCCCATTCCGCCTCGGTTCTCTTCCCTTTCCTACCTGAAGAGATCCGGGGGGCTCATTATTGGACAAGAGACTCGGGTACTTCTGAGAGAAGTTCTTTGAAATATTGTTAGGTTCCGGTCTTTTTTCAGTTTATGTAAATGTTCATTTCAGTCATGTGAGGGAGAAGCAAATCTAAAGGTCAGGAAATAGGGATTTCACTCTGAAATCTTAGACATCTCTTAGAAGACCTGGTGAATAATAGGTGGACAGAGATAACCCACTTCAGTGTTTCCTGGCATTTTAAAGGCCTGGTTATGATAAGATGATACTCTGAGTAACTCTATATAGATGGATTTCCCTACTGACTTCATTTCCTGAAACTGAGTCTGTAATGCATTCATTTCAGGGGTTTGGACACTTGGATTGTTCCTGTATCAGAAACTTCCATCCTAATGTGCCCTATCTATAGGTATCTAGATTGGAAACAACATCCCATGGCATACTTTTGAAAGATGTGTAAAAGCTCATCCATCATCAACTAAGTCTGACTAGTTAGGATGTAATATAGATGGCTTTATGAACTTTTGGTGACGTAACTTAAAATCTGAATGGGTAACTATCTGCCTTCAAAATCTTTTAAGCTAAAAATTAAAACTGAACATTCAGACTTTTGCTCTTCTATAACATTTCTTTCCTTAGCACAGAGTACTGATTTCTAAGTGGTTTTGCTGCAGAGAATTCCTAGACCCACTTTAAAGCCCCCCCCCCCAAAAAAAAGAGGAGTCAGAGTAAAATACTAGGCATTGTGTCTGCTTGCCAGTGACATGTACTTATTCCTAGAAGGGGCCCCTGAACTGGAACACAAGTCATTTGAGGGAGGAGCAAATCTGAAGGCATGGGTTACCTCCTTGGATTTTCTCTTTCCAATACACCCGAATGATTGACAGGAAAAGATTGTTTTGTCTTGCTTGATGGTGAGGTCATAGATTATCCCCATATTATATTGCACTGCATTGGTCCGTACAAAACACGTCAGTTGCCATTGAGGTGGGTCTCTGTTAGCTTTTGGTGACCTGTAACTCTAACCCTAAATACTCCTAAACTTCATCTGTAGATTTTCATTTTTATATTGTGAATGTGCTAGTAAGTTGTAATAATGAAATACCAGGTTTGTGTCAGATCAGTGGATAGTAAAAAAAAAACAAAACAAAAAACAAAACCTATACAAGAAGATTAAGGTGTAGGACCAGAACAGAATATTGTCAAAGGAATGCATGAATGTATATTTATATGCACATATAAAACTTCCATTAGCTTTTTAGCTATTTAATATTTGTGGTCTATCATTTCACAAAGAGCAGCTCTTTGAGATAAGACAAGAATGTCTTTCTGTGTTCTTGTTTTTTTTTGCAGTGTCAGGAATTGAACTCAGGGCCTCAAACATGCAAAACAAATGCTGTGCTAATGAGCTCCGCCCCAGCCCCAAGAAAAGAATATGTTAAAGGACGGTTTATTTTCGCAAAAAATGAGGAGAAAGGGGTTTACCATGTACTCTGTTTCAAAATTGAGTTCAAGGAATCACTTGTATATGCAAAATATCCTATAAAAAAAGTACTCCCCTTTCAAAATTATTTCAGTAATAAGATACTTTAGTCAGAGAAACACAGAGACTGTAAGAATTCTGTGGTCTTAAACTTCTTGATAAGAATGTGGGGCTGAGGTGTGTAGTGGAACAGAACATGAACCTTGCATGTGTGACGCCCTGAATTTGATCCCTGGCACCACAGAAAGAGAAAATAGATTTAATATCAAGGTCTGTGTATATGGCTTAAAAGCAGTTCCCATAAATATTATCAGGCAACTAAAACCTAGTCATTGTAGAGGCTAATTGCATATGACCAAATGAGGCCTCATAAACACGTTAACTTTCTAAATCTTTTGCATTCTAGTGATTTTAGTTCCAATAGCTAAAATTTTTTGTTGAAGTTTGAGTTCATTCAGCTGATTGTCTATTCTGTTGTGCATAGGGATTTTTTGAAATCAGTGTAAGAGTATATAATTTGTAAAAACAATGTATAGTTTGAATCTTGGTTTTCTTTCAAGGCATAGCAGTTTGGTCAAATGTAGTTTCTAAAGAATTTGCATCAGTCAGAGCAGTTATTTGGTACCTATTTCCTTTTTCACCTTTTTCATTAAAGTTTAACAAGCTTCACTTGGCTTATTTATACTTTCACTTCATACAGATCAGTTTATTGAGATGGCGAGAGTATTTTAAAGACACATACTCTTGAGCCAGTGTACAGGGGTTAAGACGCTTGCCTTGCATGCACCTGGCCTTGGTTCTATCTTTGGCACCACATATGGTCCCCTAAGCACTGCCAGGAATGATCTCTGAACATACAGCCAGAAGCAAACCCTGGGCACGGCCAGGTGTGGCCCAACAGGCACAGACTCTTTTCTAGAAGAAAGTGATAGTGATTGCTGTGTTGTTCACCCCCATCCCTGAAGAAAGCAGTTCTTGTTCTGTTCTCAACCAGGTCTGTGCTTAGAACAGGTCTTTGTGCTGATGGACAGGCTTCATTTGAGGCAGTTGTACTATTAGTGTACTCAGTCACTGTCTCTAATTCAGATTTTTTAGAATTGGGATTCCCTAGCTACACACACCATATGATGTCCCATCTTTCTAGATGCACAGAATTGGTGTTATTGATGTATAGATTCAGCATGATGATGATGGCAAACTTTCGGAGAAAAGAGATGTAGGTGCTTTTAGAATGTTACGCAGTTGTACAGCTAACCTGTTGATCTTCACCTCTTCAGGGGACAAAATGGAATTATGAAGATATACTTACTGTCATCACACGCACAGGAAAATCAATACTTTGTGAATGTTTCACATTATAAACACAATTGAATTCTTGTGGCTTAATTGTTAATGTGTTTATACTGTGGGAAATGGTTTAATGTCTCAAATAGATCTATCACTTAATAACAATGGTCTTTCTAGAATATGTAGAATGTGAATCAGACTTAAAAATTTTTTAAATCTAATATGTTCAATTTTTATTTTTCCATTTGCCATTATGGAAAACGAACTTTATTTTACTGTTAGATTTAAACATGTTAGACCATCTTCTTGTGAGAAAGAACTGCACAGTGAATACAGTTAGAATTTTAAGTTACATTAAGTGTGAAATATGCTTCATACGCTCCATTTTGAGTTTCCTCAAACTGTGCTAGATTTTACAATATTGATTACAATGGGTACTCGTCAGTGACTTGCAGTTGAACGTGTAAGCTAGCTTTCTGTGTTTAAGAAAGTAATGATTGTTGGTACACTTCATATTTTTGCATATTTGTTTGCATGTTGATAAAATTTCTCTTTTTTGCTTCCTGAAATTCAGTTACTAATTCTATAGAAGTTAGAGTGGAACATTATGAAAAAGTTTCAACTGGTGTTAGTGCCCAACAAAATCTTAAATTTTTTAATAACTAGAATTTCGGTGATACACTTGGTAAATACTTCAAGCCTTTTTCTCTTATACAATGGTGCTCTATCCTACTGTCTCTTTTCAAAGAAGCATCTAACACTTGTATTCTGCATATTGTAGCCAAAGGCATCCACATCTCAGTGGGTAGTGGGTAAAGTTGACATTTTACTTCAGCTAAAATCATTTTACACATTTGTGGCAAATTAAGTCTGTAGAAGGACGATAGTAAAGGTGAACCTCCTAGATTAAAGCTCTTAAAGAAGCTTTAAACTAAACTATGGACTTATACCATGGCTTAACAGTATTCTTGGATCTTTCTTGCAGTGAATCATCCGTTTATTTGTACAGTAGCTGTGAAATGTTGCTGTGAATTGGTATTTTAATCAATAAAGTGCATTTAACCAGATTTATGGAGTATGGGTTTTTATTGTTTATTTGGGCTTTGGTTTTGCGGCCACATCCAGCAGTACTCAGGACTTACTCCTGACTCTTGGGCTCAGGGATCACGTGGGGTGCCAGGGACTGACCAGGGTCAGTCATGTGATGTGCAAGGTGCTGCACCTCTCCAGCCCCTCATGTGGTGTCTTTTAAGTCAACCTTTAGAATTCCTGTTGTTGTGCTGGTGTGTACTGAGCACAGCCTGACTGGTGCTTGCATGTCTGTGCAGTGCTTGTTGCATGAAGTTCACTTTTCGAGGTGCCATGATGAAATCCAGGGCTTCACATACAGTAGTGCTCTACCACAGAGCTATCACCCCAGCTCCACAATTTTTAAGTAAAATTCCAGAAAGAAATCGATAGTTCAAGCTCAGCCCTAATTTACATAAACGGATAATTGTTTTCTTCACAGTGAATGGGCTGCTGAAAGCAAGAGACTGGAGTGCTAAGACTTTAGCACTAAAAAGTGCCTGGGGCTGGAATGATAGTACAGCTGTTAGGGCACTTGCTTGCCTCATACACAATCAACTTATATGCTGATCCCAGGCACTCCATGTGATCCCCGAGCTCCACCAGGAGTGATCCCTGAGAATACCCAGATATATGTAGCACACCACACCAAAAAAGAAGTACTAAGTGCTAACTTCCTGTGAAAAATATGACCTGTCATGAAAATACAAAATTAAGTCATTCTTCTGGAGCGCCCCTCGGTTTTTTCTTTTCCCTTCCTTTTGTTGCAGTTTTGATGACTGGAGTTATTCATATGCTTGGCTGCTGGGGGTTGTTCTCTGGAGGTGCTGTGCACCCTGACCTGACTGGTGTCAGCAATAAATCACTTTGTACTTGGCCAGGCATGCTAAGCAAGAGTTAACAACTGAAGCTCTGCCCAAGTACTATATGCCTGTCCTAAAAAGTTAAGAATGAAAGATTACAATTCACCAAATGCCAACAGAGCTGCTGGGACTGTGCTTCGGGCTGAGGACAGAACCAAGGGCGGGATTCATGGCCCCACGCGTGCAAGGCAGATGCTTTTTCAGTCACTGAGCAATCCCCAGGCCCTAATTTAGTTTCTTATGTGTAATTTTAAAATAACCACACATACTGCTTGTCGTTTGAAAACATACTGTTGTCATTTCATCACCACAACCTTAAGAGATTACAAATAAGGGAATCACAATTAAATCTACTTCAGAAAAATGTGAGAACTTCAGATGGAACAAGCCTGGCCAGGGTGGTACTGGAGGGCACTGCTGGGCAGGGTGCTTCCACTGCACATGGCCCATCAATCCCTGGCACCCAACATGGCCCCCTGAGCCCCACCAGGAGAAAGCCCACGGGTGTGGCCCCCAAAACAAGGAAAAAAATAAAGAACAAGCCTGGCCGTGAGCTGCTGACTCTTGAAGCTGGATGATGGGTTATGAGGTTTCTGTTTGCTCTCTGCTTTCAAGGTTTTGGGGGGAGAGGGAAAGAGTTACTGTTTTCTGTAATAGTTTTCAATTGTGCAAGATTGCACAGCAGAATGGGCTGGGTATTAGGTATTCCTGGATGTGGAATATCTGCAAACTACACGCCTATTACGGAGAAATCTCTCAATTTAACTAACCCCAGCCCTGCACCCTCTGCCATGGTGTTCCCTGACACCTTATGCTGTGGGTAACTTTGACACTTTCAACACTGGGATGGGATGTGCCTCATATCATAGAACATGTGCAATGTATGTATGTCCGATGACCCGGGTTTGATCTCTAGTACCCCATATGTTCCCTGAGCAACACCACTCAGAGAACACATGTGGTACGAGGTGTTATGTGACAGCCCCCCCCAACAACAACAAATATACCCTGCATACTGCCAGGCACACAAATTTAGCACAATCAAAGAGTCTATCCAAGGTACTATAATATCAACGATAAAAAGTTGAAAATAAAAGATTCAAATTTACCAAATGCCAGTATAAATGCTACATTTATCAACTATCAGGCAAATGAGTTTTATTTGCACCTTGCAAGCTTGTGTACTTATAAAAACTGTACTCTTGTAAAAAGTTAAAAATTATACAAAGTTTATAAATAATCCTGCAAACATTATAGTAAACAACTGAGGACCTGTGCTGTAACCTTTAAGTGTATAAGCTGTAAGTCACAATTATAAACCAGGTTTGATGGGCTTGGTGCACATGTCTTCTGGCATCAAGGCTGCCTATTTCAGGGTTCCATTTCCAGCAGTCACACATTTTTAAACCTGGCCTGGTAGAACTACTTTCATCACATACACTAGTGATGGAAAACTCTACCGGAAACACTACTCCAGTTGTTCCCAAATTTGAGCACGCCTCCTGATCACCCCGGGGGGCTGCTGGAGACTTTCACGCCCCACAGTAGGGCTGGGGCAATACCCAAGAAATGGCATTTCTAGTTGGCTCACAACTGATACTGTTAATCTAGGAACAAATCTTTTGAGAACCACTACTATGCTCTTTACGAGGAATGAGGAAATACAAAAATTACTACGCTGTTTCAAAAGTTCAAAAGCTTTAAGGTCTAGGTTTAGTAATCAAACAAGCTGAATCAGTATTATCAGTTTTTCAGCTGTTACCTAATTGTACTTTCTGCCTCGTGCCTTTCTTCTTGTTGTCATACCTCACCAATGAAAGCTATCAACCCACATTCACCTGATTCGAATAAGGTTTTGTATCTTATTTGCAAAAAAATATTAATGAAAGGCTTCAACAGCCTGTTAATTTTTCCTTAAAGTATCTTAAAAAATAGTGTTGCACCTGGTTTGTGAAGTCTAAATAGCCTCTAGGAGCCTTAAAGGCACAGAAAAATTACTGAGTATTAAAAGAAGAAATGAGCCTTAATTTTATCTCTCCCATAGAGAAGATGCGCAAACTACATTTAGTCAAAATCCTGTGTCACCTAGAACTGTAGATTTCTAAAAGTACCTTGGTGATCTTAATACGGCATCCTCAAAACTATAGATTGCACAGTAAGGCCCAAGAATGTCTTTTTTGTAAGTTTCCATAGAAATTTTGATTAGTACCATACACAGAAGCAGATACAATACTTGAACCCACACAAATACCCTATTAAGGTAAAAAACAGTAATTATTTTCAACCATGCTCTGGCAAATTCATACAATAAAGTAAAAACCATCCTGGCAGATAATCCAGCAGTGTCCTTAGAAAATACTTTTGGAAAACCTGCATTCCGTGCATGACTGCAAGCACCCAAATTCAGGCCTCTCTTTCTCTTGGGCCTTTTTTTTGAAAACCACTTCAGACCTTACTCGTAAAACTGAGAATGCTTTTCCTCACTGGAATCCTATCAAAGTGAAAAATGTCTTTAGAACCAGACCAGGAAACCAGAACCACATACTCTCCAACTGTAATAATGAACCTTTCTACTTTCCACTGTTGTACATCAATTTTAATGAACATAACAACAGCATATTTATTAGTGGTTGACATACCTGCCAGACTGGCAAAAGTGATTGTAACTTGCATAAATAATACACTCAAAGAACATTCCCTAATCCTCCGTGGTTAGATCAATGCAGCTTATAAAAACAAGAAAGTGACTATTCCCACTAAAGTAGGCATCAAAAATTAGTTCTGAGAAAGATGAACGGAACATTCTCTAACTCCTGGATGCCAGGAAGCAGAGTTTTTCAGAGTCAAAAATTAAAGAGAGCCCTATTTAAGAGCAAGGCCCCACCCCTCAGGGGTCACGCAGTTGGTTCTGTTGCTTTTAACCAATTCATTTTAATAAACCAGCAAACAACTAGCCTTTACCCCAAATTAAAACAAAAGAGACACCTTAACACTCTTCGGAAAGCCAAACACCCTGAGATCATTACCAGAATCTACACAAGGACTTGCTACGTAAGTATAGTGTAATTCATATTTAAAGTCATTTCATAAAAATAACAACTAATCCAATCTTCCAACTTCTGTTTCCTCCTACGAGGATCACCAAAAGCAATCTCTTGTTAAGATTCTCCTTCTCTGCCTGAACGGAGAAACTGCTTAGTAAAATTCTCCAACTGATTTTCAAGTTGAACAGCTTTATTCCTATAAATCAAAAAAACAAAAACACCAAATTATTATAAAGGTCATGAAAAAATTAAAATTCCTGGCCAGCAAACTGCAATATTTATCTTTTTTAAATAGATTCAACTACTATCAGCTTTTTAAACAGTAATTAGTGTGTTACTGTTACTATAGGGCAATATAACAGACTTCCATGCCCAGATTTGTACTGAGAAAAAAGACAAAAGTTTTAAATAAGAATAAAAAAGTGCAGGGCCTGAGCAGGAGTACAGCAGTTAGGGCACTTGCTTTGCACCTATCCTACCTGGGTTTGATCCCCAGGTACCCCATATGGTCCCCAGAGTCCACCAGGAGTGATCCTTGAGTGAAGAACCAGGAGCAAGCCCTGAGCACAACCAGGTGTGGCCCCCAAACCAGTAATAATAATAATGATAGTAGTAGTAGTAGTAGTAGTAGTAGTAGTAGTAGTAGTAGTAGTAGTAATACAAAGCACAAGGGCATGGGTAGAATGGGTGTAGGGTACTTTGGTGGTGTGTAAGGTAACTAGGTAACTCTGAACACCAAGACCATAAATGTTAACACCACTTTACCTAACAAAGACAGACAGTATAGTCAGAACAGCTTACACAAGAGAAAAAAGTTACAGCCTAAGACAAGTACAGTCACAACTGCCTTTAAGTACTTAAGTACAGAATTTTGTGTTCTGGTTTTACATATGCACAAAGTAGCTGGCAGATATCAAAGGACCATGGGCTGAACACACACACACACACACACACACACACACACACACACACACACACACACAAATGCTCAAGGCTTATTCTTGGCACAACTCAGGAGACCATATATGGTGCTGGGAATACAACCCAGGCTGGCAACATGCAAAGCAAACATCCTACACTCTGTACTATTGCTCTATCTTCCAAAAATATTTTTAAATACTAGAAACAGCATTTGCCTTGCAAGTGGTCAATCCCAGTTTGATCCCTGGCACTACTGGGGTCATTCCACAGCACAGTCGGTATGGACCCAAACACCAAAAACAAATATTAAAATAAGGAATACATCCGCTGTATGAAGAGAAAAAGTGGAACTAAAGTTGACAGAAAAACACCCTATATTGCTGAGTACATAGGCTTGGGCCTATATAATGTAAATGTATAAGCAGAAACACCATCTGCACTCCTATGTTCACAGCAGCACTATTCACCATAGTCAGAATCTGGAAATAACCTGAATGCCCAAGAACAAACGAACGGATAAAGAAACACAATGAAATATTATGCAGCTGTCAGGAAAAATGAAGTCATGAAATTTGTCTATAAATCAGTGGACATGGATAGTATCATGCTGAGTGAAATGAGTCAGAAGGAAAGGGACAGTTATAGAATGACTGCATTCATCTGTGGTATATAAAAAATATATGTAGCAGAAGGACAGTATCAATGGCCAGAGTAAACAGGGTTTCGGAGAAGTGGTCAATGGCTAGAATCAACCACAAGTGTGTGTGGAGCTGAGGGTAAGTAAGACAGAGGAGATAATAGCTGGGAAAGATCATGCTGGACAAGACCTGAGGGTTAAAAGTAGGTAAGGGATATTCTGGATGAACTTTCAGTATCAACACTGCAAACCACAATGCCCAAAATAAGAGTGTGTGTGTGTGTGTGTGTGTGAGAGAGAGAGAGAGAGAGAGAGAGAGAGAGAGAGAACAAGAGCAAGGGGAGTTGGGGGAGAAGAAAAGCGCCTACCAAAGAGGCAGGCAGCGGGTGGGAAGTGGGGGGTGATAGGAGGGAACCTGGGGACCCTAGTGCTGGGAAATGTACCCTGGTGGACGGATGGGTGTTGGAACACTGTAGGACTGAAATACAATCATGAGCGACTTCGCAATGCTCTAAAAATTTTGATTTTAAAAAAACAATAAATTTTAAAAAATAATGTATACGTGTACATGGAGGCTGGAGAGAGAGCACAACACTGAAGGCATGTGCCTTCCAGGGAGCCCACTTCCATCAGGGCATGGTCTTTGGTCCCCTACCACTGCCAGGCGTAGTCCCTGAAGAGTATAGCCCACCATGTACGTATGAACTTTTCTGCATTTTTTTTTTTTAGGCAATTTTCCCGGAGCAAAAAATTAAGTTGAATTTAATGAATGGCTAAACCTAATGTAATAATAATGGAGGTTCTAAATATTATAGTACTGTTATTTTAAACTTCCTATTAGAGAAAAATGAATTTACAGATAAAAAATATTTGTACCGAACCAATTCAGTCCTGCCCAAATCAGATGTTATTAAGTGCTACAAATGAATGTCTACAACAGTAATCAACACAGACTAGTGTCCTGGACAACGTTTTATACTAACAAGATGAAACTCTATTTCTAATAAGAAAACTACTTCAAACCTTAATACTAAATATCAAAATAAAAATCTATTAAAAGAGGGCCAGGAATATGGCTCAGTGGTCGAGTCCATGCGGTGCCTATGTGAAGCCCTGGGTTCAACTACTGGTACCACTGACGTCCTCAGTGATCGCCGACTGATGCCTAGTGCTCTCCAGAACTACAGCAGCAGCACAAATCATTACCCTCTGGCTGCCCAACTTGGCAAATTAAAACCACCTAGGTTAAAAAATAATCTACAGGACTTCGTTGTCTATGCCAGGGATCAAAACCTGGTCCTCACACATGCAAGACAAAAGCTCTCTACCACCGAGTTATATCCATCGGTGATGTAAGTTGAAATAGGAGCAATGCAATCAATATACGAAATTCACTTGGGTGATTGTGTGGGTGAGGGGAGACTGGGATCGAAACAACGGGAAGTTATCTTTCCCAGAGATTTTGGAGGACAGGTAAAAGAAAGTGACTGCTGCATCAGAGAGAGAGTGCAGTGCCCAGAGTGTTTGCCTTGTACACAGCCAGCCCACGTTTGAGTCCAGGCATCCCAAATAGTCCTTGAGCCATGCCAGGAGTGATCCCTGAGCACAGAGCTGGGAGTAAGCCCTGAACATAACTGGATGGCCCCCAAAACAAAACTAACAACAACAACAAAAGAATGTAACTGCTGATCAGATTAAAACATCATAGATCAACACTAGACCTAATGTATTAAATACACGTTCCCAAATTCAGGTCACAAGGAAAAGTTCCCCTAATTCCCAGATGTTGCAAACGCTCTTATATGAGCAACTGTATGGAACACTGATGAGCAGCAGGGATTAAAATATTCTTAATGATTCTCCCAGATTCCTCATATGTCAGTGAACAGGTAATAAAGCTAAAGTTACGAACTGCCAAGAAGTAGTATCTTTTGGTGATACTTCTGGTCTTGACCCCCAAAGCAAACTTTGTACCTCAAAATTTCCATGATACATCACATTAAGCCAGAACACTACATTATATTAGGGCATCTTTATTTACTTTGGCTGCTTCAAATTTAAGAACTGAAAACTATGCAACAGTTCTCAATGGGAACAAAAGTTGGGGGTCTTGGCTATTTAAAACTGAAGAGTCATAATCTGTCCCTGAAAAGGAACTTTTACAAAGCTTAAAAGAGATTTAAGTTTAGATCTTAAAAGTACCTTCCAATTAGAATCTTCTTGTTGAAATTAACTTTCACTAAAATTGTGTGGAATTAAATATGGGAAATTATAACTTAACCCAAGCATAAGGATTTCTAATACTATACACTAGTGATATTACAAAATTATATTTTGGTAAGAAGACCAGCAAATGATGACATAACTGAGGGGAAAAGATCCATACCTTAAGAGCTTTGAATTGTTCTGTATTTTCTCCAACTGATCAATTTCTTTGGATAATCTAGCAATTTCTTCTTCCAAATGTCTTTGCGTAATATCAACTTGTTGGCACAGGCGAGCAAAAGTAGTTGCCATTTCCCTTAAAATAAAAAAAAGTATTACACCCACATCAGTACTGGAATGCTCTCATGTTTCTAAATATATCCCTTGTCATTGCCCCGCTCCCCTCTCATCTTTGGTTTGGACAGTTTATCTGCTGACATCTTGTTATTCTGCCTGTTCAAATCTCAAAAGGAACTTTCACTGATTAATTGTCCTTCTTATTTAAACTTGCTTTATGAGTTTTATAAATTAATCACTTCTACCCTTTTATAATATGTACCTATTACTCCTTCTGACAAATTGCAGTTGTCTTGACTTGGGAGAACTTTAAAATTCAGCTCTCTGTAGGGGCTGGAGTGATGACAGTACAGCAGGCAGGACACTTATCTCACCTGTGGCTGGGCTGGGTTCAACTCCTAGCACCCTACATGGTCCCTGAAGCCTGTCAGGAGCAGGACTTGAGCACAGAGTCAGGAGCCAGCCCTGAACACCATCAGGTGTGGCCCAGGCTAAACTCCCTCACCCAGTGCCCACAAAAATAATAAAATTCAGCTCTCAGTAGCATAAAATACAGCATATTATCTACCACTTACTGGAGTACTAAAAACTTTGTATTTGTCTGTCTTGGTGGTAAAAAAGATCAAACCGAGATCTGATCAAGATGCTTGACCAAGAAGCTCCATGTTATTTTTATAGAATCCGTGAAATACTTAGGATACATTAAAAAACTCAATGGATCATAATAAAATTCTCTTGTGCTCTAAAAGTGTATCTTCAAACATATATATTCGTGACTATGACTCATAGTCATAGTAATTTCCTAAATAATTTCCTAAATAATTTCCTCCACAATATTGCATTTTGGGGGACACTGTTCTATATCTTTTTTTTTTAACTGATTACAAAGTATGTTCACATTACAGTAATTCTTTGAGTGGCACTCCTGTGTATTTTCTGGATGTATGCCTGTCATCCAGAAAACGGCTATTTATTTTTAGGTTCTGGGGTCTGCCTCGTGATGCTCAGGGGTTACTGCTGGCTCTGTGCTCAAGCATCACTCCTGGTGAGCTTGGGGAGCCATATGGGATGCCAGGGACTGGAGTGGCGGAGCGGTAAGAATCAAGAACTTACTGTGGGATCATTAAAATGTTTGTGATTTAGGGTCAGGCACATGCAAGGCAAATGCCCTACCCTCTGGCTGGACTATCACTCCAGCCCCACAGAAAGCTATCTTTTTCTTTTTTTAAATTTCATTTGTCTTTTGGACCCCACCCAGTGCTGCTCCTGGGTTACTCTGGCTCTGCACTCAGGAATGACTCCTGGCGGTGGGGTGGACCATATAGGATGCTGGGATCAAAGCCGGGCCAGCTACCTGCAAGGCAACACATCCTACCCACTGTACTATCGCTCCAGCCCCAGAAAGTTCTCTTTCTAAACCAAAACATAAATCCTTCAACTTACTGTTGTACTTGATGGCTGCAGTTTGCACTTGTGAAGCTGACAATCATCTGCAGTTTCTCAGTTGCATAGTTGACGAATTGTTGCTTAAAGGCTCTCTCTTTGGCTCGGGTGGTCCAAGTCAGCCTTTCATAAAGATACAAAGCTCCATACATACTTAATGAAAGAGAGATGAGTTTCCAGCCTACAGTTTTCCAAATCTGTAAGACAGATTCAGAGCCACATTATAAAGAAAAACAGTCTTTTGTGAATTATTTAATAACCGGACAGACATTTGGTAAGCTTGACATGTCAATATGTGCTATTTTTTAGGTCAAAGGTTCAAAGTAAATTTATACTTTAAAATACAGATTTTTAAAAAAAAATATATTCTCATATGATCTACTAAAAAGTAATCTTTTAAAGCTTCTAGGAAGATTTTGACATTCAGAGAAGATCAGAAGGGACCTGAATCTTGCTTGTTATTCCCATATACAAATACTATTTCTTTGTAGGTTGCAGTATGAAAATAGGAAGCATTATTTTAAGGTCAGCTATTTGGTCATGTTTGTTTCTAAAGAACTATAAAGGTAAAAGGTAAAGGCCCTCCCGTTGATCGTCGATTTGCTCGAGCGGGCCCAGTAACGTCTCCATTGGAGACTTTGTTGTTACTGTGTTCGGCATATCGATTACGTCACAGGGAGCTTGCCAGGCTCTGCCGTGCGGGCGAGATACTCTCGGTAGCTTGCCGGGCTCTCCGAGAGGGGCGGAGGAATCGAACTCGGGTTGGCCATGTTGGCCGCTTGTAAGGCGAACGCCCTACCGCTGTGCTATCGCTCCAGCCCCTAAAGAACTATATTAAAAATAATTTATTTGAAATAATTTCACAATACATATGTAAAATCTAATGCTGTATATCTAAAAGACAAAACAAACTTATATGTCAATTATATCTCAGTAGAAGTAATTCAGGGGGCTAGACACATTTCCTGAGTGCAGAGCCAGGAGTAACCCCTGAGCATCACTAGGTATGTACCAAAAAACAAAACAAACAAACAAAAAAAGCAATTAAAAAACATAAGATTGTACTTAAAAAAGTGTTACCTTACTACTTTTGACCTAGAACTTTTTATGTCATTTTACCAAAACTAAATTAAAAGTATACCTCCTTGAAATTCTGTGATACTGAACATCAATTTCAAAAAGGAGAAGAGAAATAGATAAACCATTTTTTTTAAGTTCAAAAAACTTAGGGGCTGGAGCAACAACACAGCGGGTAGGGCATTTGCCTTGCACGCAACCAACCCAGGTTTGATTCCCAGCATCCTATATGGTCCCTTGAGCACCGCCAGGAATGATTCCTGAGTGCAGAGCCAGGAGTGACCCAAAAAAAGCAAAAATAAATAAATAAATAAATAAAAAATATATATATATATAAAACTTAAAGTTGGATTAGGCTGCAAGCAACAGAAAACAATGTATTATCTTTTCTTCAGCCCAGTTTTACTGTGGTTTTAACTGACACATACAAGAGTGTATTTTCCTATACAACTATGAAAAAGGATTAAAAGTAAAGAGATCTTTTCATCATTGAGCAGGCAGCTTCGCAAACATTTTAATGATCCCACAGTAAGGTCTTTATTCTTACCACTCCGCCGACCACGATGATGCCCATAGAAGTTCTAGATGTGAGAGAAGCCAGTCCTGTTATTAGGGTGACCATGAGGTCTTCCTGTGATGTACTGTCTGGTGTCGCTGGGTTGGCGGGAGCAGTCGGGGTGGAGGCTAGCGATCTAGGGAGCTGACAAGGGGGGGAGCGGAAGAGTCTTACAATGATGACTCTGACAAATCCTACTGCACTGCTTTTTAGATTATGATAAGCCTACAAAAGGACTGATCCCATCACAACCTGACCAACCCGGGGGTGACTGAGAGGGCTGGAGCACACGCCCTAATGGGGGAGCCCCAGGCTCAGGCGCACCCCCTCAGCACGGGGCCCCTGAGCACTGCTGGGCGTGTTCAAATGGCAACACAAATGAATTTGCCATAAATATCTAAAGACAATAAAAATGGCCTGAAATTGATTCCAACACAGACCAAGGAGATCAGGAAGAATATACTTTTGTAATATACCATCAGTCTATTTATAAATAGTCCTTTACTCCTTAGGAAGAACGTATTTCATACCCACCCCTCCACCCCCCCCCCAAAAAAAATAATTTTAGTATGCATCACTCTTGGTGATGACTGACCATAGAGGGTGCTGAGAATTGAACTCAGGTCAATCATGTGCAAAGGAAGGGTCCACCCACTGTACTATCAGGCCCCAAAAGCCATAATCCTTTTCTTTCTTCTTCTTCTTCTTTTTTTTTAAAAGGGACTTCAAAATAGGAGATGCATTTTAAACTTCAAAATATGCTACTTAGAAAAATGAAAAGACATGCCAGAAATTTAAAATACAGATACTACATCTGACAAAAAGACTTGTACCTAGAATATATATAGAACTACAAGTCTATGAGACAAGTATCTCAATTAAGAAATGAGCAAATAAAGGGGCCAGAGCAACAGTACAGTAGGTAGAGCACTTGCCTTGCGTGCAGTGGATCTGGGTTCAATCCCTGGCACACCGTACAGTCCCTAGACAACTGACAGGAGCGATTCCTGAGTGTAGAGCCAGGAGTAAGCACTGAGCATTGCCAGGTGTGTGACCCCCACGCTCAAAAGAAAGAATTTTAATAAAGAAGAAATGAGCGAACGTAGCCCAGGGGAGCAGTACAGATGCCTGTAGCACCTGCCACCTGCTGGCAAACGCAGGGTCGTGAGTTCAAATCCCCAGCGTCCCACATACACCACACACTATCCAAGCAAGTCTACTGTGAGTGTGGCAGCTAAGATGCTGCGACCAATTCCCGCGCTGCAAGCAATTTCAAGCCACACGCCACGCAGTCAGGTACAGAAGCACTGCAAAAGGGGTGGTGTAGCATCCAGTGAGGACCACAAATAAAAAGATGCCAGGACTGGAGAGAGAATAGGAGGGAAGGCACCCGCCTCACATGTAACTGGCTCGTTTGATCCCCAACACCCCATCTGGTCCCCCTGAGCACTCCTCAGCAGAGAGCTATGTGACCAAAGTCAAGTCCACGCATACACATGCCTTCCCCATGTCCCCCCAACAACCAAAACGGATATGCAAGTGTCATGGCTAGAAAGTGTGACCCCTGGTAAGCATGTGTGTAAACACAACTAAAGAAGTGCAAACCTCAGTGAGCACTGTGATCAAGTGTGTGTAAGGACACCTCAACCTGATATGCAACCCCCATAAGCACCGCAACTAAAATGTGCCCACACCAGTCAGGGGTGTGCACCAACTCTGATCACTGCAACCACATCAACAATAAAGGGAGAGATAGGGAAGGGGATTTTAAAAAGACAGCTAACGATTTGACCAGGCACTTCACAATAAAGGACACATACACCGCTATTAAACACAAGCTCAAAACCATAGTTGTCCAGGAAATAGAAATCAAAATGATAATGATGCCTCTTACATTAACTAGAATTAAAAAGACAAGAGCAAGCCTTGGTGAGAATCTTGAGGAATAGGACCTTCGTATGCACTGCTGGTAGGAATGTAAAACGGAACATCAGCTTTGGAAGTCAGCTTGGCAGTTCCGCAGAATGTTAAACAGTCACCATATGTTCCAACAATACTACTCCCCAGAAATAAACTCAAGAAAATGAAAACATGCGTACATAAAAACAGCACATGTGGACTGGGAAAATCACCCACAGGGCTGGGGTGCCTGCCTCATATGCGGGCGCCCTGGTTCAACTGCCAGCACCACCGTCCCCCGCAAAGATCTGCCAGGAGTTAATCATCCCCAAGTACCATGAGCACAGCCAGGTGTGGTCAAAGGCAAAAATAAAATAAAACAATGTTTACAGAATCATTATTCCTCATAGCCAAGAGGTACAAACAGCTCAAAATATCCATCAGCTGATAGTAAATTGAATGTGTTATTTCTAGAGTGGACTATACTTAAGCCATAGCAAGGAAGGGAGTACTGAGTACTGATCTATGCTACAACATTCACAGAGTGCAATGATAAACCCTGAAAACAAGTGAAAGGAGTCAGGCACAGCAGAACACACTCTGTGTGTTTGTTTATGGGACATGTCAGAAAGGGTTCAGCTGAGAGCTATAGAAAGCTCTAGCAGAAGGTCTGGAGGAAACCAGTAGCTTCTCATAGACATAGCGCCATCTTTTGTTATTTGGGAGGGGGAGGGGATGTTTGGGCCACATCAGCAGGTGCAACTATATATACCACTGATTAAACCAGAAGGGTCATATGCAAGGCCTAACCCCTCTCCTACCTCTCTGGTCCCAAAAGGATATCTTTGGTGGGTGATAAGACATGCCTTAAAACTTAACTGTGATGACACTTTTTTTTTTTTCAATAACAGAATACAAGGGCTGGGGAGGTGACTGAAAGGGACGGAGTGCATGCTTTGCATTTGGGACCCCGAGCTTGACCCCCAGCCCCATGCACTGATCCAAGCACTGTCAGAAGCAGCTCCAAGCACTGCGCTGGGAATAATCCCAAGTGCTACCAGGTGTGGCCAAAAGAACAACAACAAGAAGTCCCAAAAATTTTTTCCTGCGTTAATTCCAATGTATTTGTAGTGGGGGGGGGGGGGGGGGGGGGGGGAGAACCTACCGCTTTTAATAAAGTAGAAAATGGGGCTTGCTCTTCAAGCCTGTGCCTCCCCTGAACACCTACCTCACTTGTCTCTGTCTTTGCTAGCTTGTATCCACTCTGGAGAAGCCTGTGTTCTCTCTCCAACCTGTACTTCTCCCTTTCTCCTCCTTCACATCTTTCAAAATAAGTTTCAATAAAACTACCTTGGTTCACCATAAAAAAAGTTAAAAAAAAAAAAAAATGAAACAGAGAGACTGTTCAAACAGCTGGAACCAAGCCTTGCATGTGGGAGTTCCAGGTCTGAACTCAGCACTGCCCATCCCCGCCCCCACCAACACACTGCTGGGAGCAACCCCTAAGCAGAGGGAACCCCTCTACGCAGAAACAGTGAGCAGATAAAAAATAAAGATCCATGACGTGCAATGTATCTTTCCTTTGAGTATATTATCTCTAATTCAGAAAAGGCTCTGTATGACATAAGCTCATATATAGCAAATTTAACACAGCTCTTTCTCTTAGAGAAAACCACATAGGCAAAATAAGAATTTCATACCTGAAAGATAGGCTCTGATAATCCTAGAAGCACCCGCTGAGCATTGGTTGGGCCCAAGAAACGATAAACAAGGGAAGACCAGCCCAAGGAAAAACGAAATACAATATCCTCTTGAAAATCTGAACACAACATGTGGCAATTTAGATCATAGCTGAGATCGAATTTCTTGCAAGGAACCAATGTATGAAGTTTATTCTGTATATTAGCTGGAAGCAATGGTTTCAAATTTTCTAGAAAGAACAAATCATAGTATTTGTTTTAAGGAATAAGACACTTTAATAGAAAAAATAGAAATTTAAACAGCAAATAGTGTTCTGTATCTTACAAAATAGCCAAAGGAAAATAAACCCTTTACCAATGAAATAAAGAAAATACTATATGTGATGTTGTAAACAGGAAGATTACCAATAATTTCTTGCTGGGACTGAAGCATTGAGGCATTGACTTCACTGGTACACCGATCGGCCAGGTTTCTTCCCATACCATCTTCTATGTGCTTATTTAATTCCTGTTAACAATGGCAAATGACCATATTATTTTTTTTCTCCAGTATGTATGCACATTTCATTGTTAAGTACAAGAAATGCTAAAATTATCTTATTCCAAAGATACTTTTCTATTTTTTATACATAACTGCTTAGCTAGTATTAAAAGTTTAATAGGAAGATACTAAAATGGCGAAAAACAACTGTTATATGTAAAAAAAAAAAAACCAAAGAGCAAGGGATAAAAGACTATTCCATTTGAAATAGTAGACAAAAATAACAAACACTAAGGAATCAACAACAGATGTGAAAGATACAGATACCTTAAATTTCAAGTCACTTATAAAAGAAAGGAAAAAAGACACCAAGAAATGGAAAAATCTTCCATGTTTATAGATTGGAAGAATTAACACTGTCAAAATGACCACCCTACTTAGCATATTCTTAGCACAGATTCAATGCAATTCCAGTAAAATGTTGATGACACTTATAAAGGATTTAAAATGAAAATCGATATGGAACTATAAAATACCTTGAACAGCTAAGGTCAATCTGAGAAACCAAGAAGTTGGAAGGTACTACATAACTGGAGATTGTCAGACCAACAGATCAGAACTAAGAACCAAGAGCTAAACCCTCAGATCTATGGGAAACCAGAGCAAGGAAAGCCAAAATTTTTCGTAAGTGTGCTGGAGAACTGAATAGATGCCAGACAATAGATCTGTAGCTAACATCATATACAAAAGTTACTTCAATATGAACTAAAGACCTCACAATTAAAACAAAATTCATAAAATACAAAAAAGAAAATAGAGAACTGCTCAAAGCCTGAACTTCGGAGGGACCTTAATGACTTGATCCCACTGACAAAGATATGAAAACAAAAAAATAAACACGCGGGGTTACATCAAATACATGAGTTTCACAGAACAAAAGGAACTCGAGCTACAGTAAAAGATACCCTACCAAATGGGAGAAGATATTAGCACACAATACATGAATACTAATAGTAAGAGACTAATATTCAAAATATATCAAACACAAAGCTTAGCAACAAAGAAATTAACAACCAAGAAATGGGGAGAGGAACAACCACCACCACCACCACCACCACCACCACCACCACCACCACCACCACCCAACAAAAACAATGAAGAGTAAAACCAAGCAAACAAACAAACAAAAAAACCCAGAAAACAGAATAAGAGAGGAACAGACACTTCCATGAACAGGACATGCAGATGCCAAGAAGGGAAATGCAAACCAAAACAATGAGGTATCTATCACCTTCCACCAGTGAGAATCGCATATATCAAAACTAACTGAAAACAACCAGACTGGCAGGGATGAGGTCAAAAAAACAAAAACAAACAATTCCAATTTACTGCTGGGAACACCTGACTCAGCCTCTATGGAAACTGGTATGGAGATTTCTCAATAAACTGAGAGGTCCACATGACCCAGCAATTCCAATTCTTCGAATCTATCTCCCAAATCTAAAAACATTAATCAGAAAAAATATGCATGCACAGCTATGTTCATTGTGTACAGTCGCCAGGATATGGGGAAAAAAAAAAGAAACAACCAAAACGTCCAATAAAGAATGAAGGGGTAAAGAAGCTGTGGTCTAAAAACAGAGTGGGATACAATGTAGCACAAAGAAGGAGAAAATGATCCTTTCACTGTAACTTGGGTGGAACTGGGGGGCGGGCGGGGGGGGGGGGGGGGGGGGGGGGGGGGGGGTTAATCATGCTGAAGCAAACTAGGTCAGAGAGAGAGAAAGAGAAGCACTGATGACCTGTGGAAGACAGAGAAACAAAGCAAGGGTAGAGACAGTAACCATTGACACCAAACCTTGGGGACTGGAGGACCCACAGAGGGGGAGCAGGAGGGCTCAGTGACTCAGTGGCATGGGTGGGTGGGAGGTTGTGGGTGTTTTGGTGATGGTGAAGTCAAATACACAAAGAATATAAATGTCAAAAGTACTATCAACACCTAAATTGTAATTGTAACAAAGTAGTCAGAACATTAGGTAAGATACAAAACAAGGAGGAAACAAAATACCTAAATAACTTTTAACTCTACTATTTTTTGGAGGGATGAACCATCCCATAGTGGTGCCGCCAGGGATTCAAACCAGGGATGCGAATCTCTGGCTGCTAACTCTATTCATTTGCAAGCTGGCAGGGAGGACAGAAGTGCTGCCAGGGGTCCAAGGTGGGGCACGAACATGCAGGCATGTGCCCTACCTCATGACCCACACTCTCAGCCCTCAGCTCCACTTTTTAACTTACACTTTTATATACTTTCAATACACCTGGAGTAGGATGAAACTCAGAACAAAATTCATCAACCAAAACGGAGAGTCGACAAATTTCATCTGTCATTGCACATGAAACCTGCAAGTGATCAAACCAGAGTTAACAAAAGTTTATGAACAGTCAAAACACTTATTGTAAAAAGAAATTTAGCACTCTTTTTTTAAAGTAACAGGAAAAGCATTTTTTGGCATTATCAAACCTACTTAATGATGATTAAGTCACCCTTTATCATAAAAATGCTGTGCTATGGGCTGGAGAGATAGCACAGCGGGTAGGGCGTTTGCCTTGCACGCGGCCGACCCGGGTTTGATTCCCAGCATCCCATATGGTCCCCTGAGCACCGCCAGGAGTAACTCCTGAGTGCAGATCCAGGAGTAACCCCTGTGCATCACCAGGTGTCACCCAAAAAGCAAAAAAAAAAGCAAAACAAAACAAACAAAAAAAAACAAAACTGTACTGCTCACCTTGTTGGCCACTTCCTCCGTAACCTCCTTGATCTTCTTCTTCACTTCTAGTGTTAAAATATTCATCTGGTTTTGGATAAAGTCCAGTCTATCAATCTGATCTTCTCTCTCTTCTATTGAATAAACCCTATCGTAGTATGAAGAACAATTAATATTCAGGGCATTTTTAAATCCCAGAGAAATTAATCAAGAACACTCACATATGTATTAACCATCTATTAGCATGATATAAGAGGGAAAAAGGTCATTTAAGTATCAAAAGAAGCAAATACTTAAATTATATTTTATAAGCCTATTTTTCTTAGAGGTTCATATCTTGACCTCAGGCGTGTGTTCCCTCTTGTTCTCTCTCTCCTCTCCTTATTCCCTCCATCCCTCCATCATATTTCTCTAAATGAAAATATTTCTTTACTGCACTTTTGCCTCCTGAAATTCTTTTCTGTGAAGAACAGTGACAGACCTGAGAAACCTGGGCAGGGGTTAGGACTGACAGTCCTTTTTTTGCAAAGAACAATTCCGTGCTAGGGCCCCGAGTCCACGGCTTGCTGAGTGCTGGAGTGATGGGGACCAGTTCCCGTGCCATGTAGATCAAGTCATTTCAGGTGCAGCTTGACGGTTGCCTCATGGGGCTGTTGGGGTGCAAGTGTCCATGTCCTGTGGCTGACTTGACCAGTCCTGATCCACCCCAAGGACTTCCCAGGATGACCAATGTGGGTTGAACACAGAGTGGAAGCACTCTTCTTCCTGTGGGGATACCTTCCTTGTTCCCCACTTCACCTATGTAACCTGCAACACCTGATGATGAGGCAACTAGGAATCAGTCACCCACACAATTTTTAAGCCACCTGGGGAATCCGCTTCTCTGAAGATATGGTTCCTCTACCACTTTAACAACATCTTAAAGCCTCTGAACAACTGAAAATCACAATGCATATACGAGAATGCTGAGCTCCAGGTAATATAAAGGATGTACTCGAGGTTGTAGAATAAACAGCTCCAGTCAGGCACCAGCTAAACCCACAGTTTGACTTCAGTGTGCTAAGCACTTATATCAGCGATTAATGAACTCAGGCTGAAAAATTCATCCTGATATGAAGGACAAGTAATTTCGTTTTGCAATAAAATGAATTCCTACCTTTTCTCTGCTGCTGTCACGTTTATTGAATCCATTATGTTTTTCACAGTATCTAGTATCTGTTTAGCTCTGATAGTGTGCTGTTCAAACTTTGTTTTCACTGCTGACTGCGAGATACACTCCTGCGAGGGGCCCAAGCCATGACACATTACTGTAATTCCATCCCAACACTTTCAGGAATTTAATACACACAAATACTTGCTGTTTGCAACTTTAACCAAAAAAGAAATGATAAAAAACAAACACATGACAAACTTAAACTTAAAATTACAAAGGTTAAAAAAACTATAAGGCTTAAAAGTAAAATCACTTTCAACAGCAAGTTCCTATTATTTGTGTAATTTTACACAGTAATGTGCAATGGTTTCTGACTGCAATAATAAAAAAAACAAAAAAAATCTATAGTATTATTCTCATTGTTAAGAAAGTCTTTCCCCATTAATTGTTCATTTTATCTGAATTGTCTTTAATCCACTTCAGTCTACCTAAATTTTCCTCATGCTTGCAAGATATAACCTAATGAAGTTCTTGATTAAGAATTCTAGCTACTCAAATCAGTTGATGTGACTCACATAAAATTATTTAAAAAGACTTCTATAAGCTATAAAAATTCCAATAATAATCTTTGAGAACCGAGTAATATTTTTGAAGATACAGATCATAGCCCTTTCAAGAGTTAATCATAACTATTTTCCCACTGGAATAGTGTATGCATCCAGTCATTACTGATGCCTAACTTCATTTCTTCACTTATAAGCTATTCTATGCTATTCTAGCTTAAGCAGAGATAGGCAGCTCATAGACATACAGATATCTGTTCAAAAACTTAGTTCCATTTTCAGCATACATGTATACAACTTATTTTTAATCATTTATCATTGGATGCTTGCAGAATTATTCAATGTAATTAGCCTTCTAGTTTTACTTCATACTAAGTCAAATCCTGTGCTGATAGAATGTTTGAAAATAAAGTTTTCTGTTTTGGATTTTGGTTTTGGGGCCGTACCCAGCAGCACTCAGTGATCACTCCTGCTGGTGCTCACGGGCTTTATGCAGGGGATGGGCCCTGGGTCAACAGAGCTCAAGGGAAGTGCCTACGCAGGTACTATCTCTACAGCCCTAAAAAACAAGTCTCAACCAAAATGCTTCCTGTTTTGTTTTGCTTTTTGGGTTACACCCAGCGATGCACAGGGGTTACTCCTGGCTCTGCACTCAGGAATTACTCTTAGTGGTGCTCGGGGGACCATATGAATGCTGGGAATCGAACCCAGGTCGCCACGTGCAAAGCAAACGCCCTACCCACTGTGCTATCACTCCAGCCCGCTTCCTGTCTTTAAGCAATTTTGAGTCATATCAACATCAAGAACTATAATAGGTGTTTTGCAAGAGACCATGTCTATTTTCTGTGCTGAATTTACAAGAATTTTAGTATATTCCAAATCTCCAGTATTATTTCCATGAATTTATCTTTTTTGAACCTCTTTATATACTATACAGTACAAGCTGTGGTAGTCGCTTTGTAAAAGTTACTGTCAAAATAGTATCTTCCAATAGAGTGTTAACTAGAATTCATCTGCCTCACAGGGACAGGGAGGGGTGGGGGGTGGGGTTTTATTGGGGTTCTTCATGGGAAAAAATAAGTATTGGTAAAGGGAAATGTGTTTGATATTTGCATGACTGAGACATAAACCTGAAAGCTTTGTAACCTTTCCCACAGTGATTCAATAAATAAATAAATAAAAAAAAAATAAAAAAAAATAAAAAAAAAAATAGTATCTTCCAAGTTTTAAAGGGTAGTCATTTAATATTCTAGTACTAATAGCTATACATTCACCCTATCTTTTTCTTTATAACTTAAGCTTAGCCCTCACATCTCTGAAATTATTTATTTCACCTAAAATTGTTATCTCTTGCCACTTTAGCCGCCCTCCTCTGTATTTCACTTGATAAATAGAAAGCAAACCAGATACATTTCTTCAGCTACAGGGCACATGAGGTTAATTCAGCTAGTCAACAGTATTAAGTTTTAACTCAGAGTCCATTAATATCTTTTATTGCATGGCCTTACTGCTGCTCATGAATTAAACTCAATTTATATATCAATCTACTATCACTTGGGCTGGAGCGATAGCACAGCGGTAGGGCGTTTGCCTTGCACGCAGCCAACATGGCCGACCCGAGTTCGATTCCTCTGCCCCTCTCGGAGAGCCCGGCAAGCTACCGAGAGTATCTTGCCCGCACGGCAGAGCCTGGCAAGCTCCCCGTGACGTATTCGATATGCCAGACACAGTAACAACAAAGTCTCCAATGGAGACGTTACTGGGCCCGCTCGAGCAAATCGATGATCAATGGGAGGGCCTTTACTTTACTTTACTACTATCACTCTTCTGATTTTGAAGAGATCAGTACAGAAAGTTACTGCATTCCAATTCCATACATACCAGAAATTAATAGCTATACATTATTAGACTATCAAGCGCTAACTTAATTTTTAACAACCACAAAAAACTATTAATACTTTAATTCTTTTTGGTTTTGTTTTGGGGTCACAACCGGCAGTGCTCACAGCTTACTCCTGGCAGGCTCGGGGGACCATATGGGATGCCGGTTATCAAAGTTGGCCACGTACAAGGCAAACACTTTACCCATGCTAGAGCTGTGGCATTAATGTTACTTTACTATAAACTTGATCTTACTTTCAAAACTTCCTCATACACTTGCCTAATTAACTTCCACAAGGCTATAACAAAAGCATAAATATATCTAAAAGGAAAAAAAATGGTTAACAGAAAGTCTAAGAGGCTTCTGTGTATGTGGCCCTGCAATGGATCGATCCCCACTTTAACAAAACAAACAAAATGAAAATCCGGGGCAACAGATGTCGTAGACCACCTGCCCACGGTCCAATCCCCGGCATCACAAATAATAATGATAATAGTAAAAGAAAAGTCTATGTTCCTCGATGAAGCAGATCTAGGTATCAGCAATGATGACCCAAAATTTGTAAATAACAGCACAGTATTAGAGCTAGACAAGGCAGAAAAGATCATCCAAAAGTTAGTAGGTAACAAAAGTTATTTCTTAATTTAAAAATACACAAAAGAGCAAGTACAACGAATAGTCTGCTAATCAGTATGCCATATTGATGCTCCTGCCAATCAAAAAAATATGAAGAGACACCCTGGATGCAAGCGCGCACACAAACACACACACACACACACTCCTGCCAATCAAAAAAATATGAAGAGACACCCTGGATGCAAGCGCGTGCGCGCACGCGCGCACACACACACACACACATATACACACACACATAATCAAAAAGAACCAAACTATTCTGAATTAAGTATGGGAAATGCCAATTTGGGGTAGGTAGCGGGGGAAGCACACCTGGCTATGTACAGGGTTTACACCTGGCTCTGTGCTCAGGGATCATTCCTGGCCATGCTCAGGGACCATAAAGGGTCCCACGAATTAAACATGGGTCAGCAGCATGCAAGGCATACACCCTGCCCACTGTACTCTCTCTCCATCCCTTGGGAAGTGCTGATTTAAAGAAAGTTTTTTTTTTTTTTTTTTTAATTTATTGGGCTGGAGCGATAGCACAGTGGGTAGGGCGTTCGCCTTACAAGCGGCCAACATGGCCGACCCGAGTTCGATTCCTCCGCCCCTCTCAGAGAGCCCGGCAAGCTACCGAGAGTATTCGATATGCCAGACACAGTAACAACAAAGTCTCCAATGGAGACGTTACTGGGCCCACTCAAGCAAATCGACGATCAACGGGAGGGCCTTTACCTTTACCTTTACCTTATTTATTGAATCACTGTGGGAAAGGTTACAAAGCTTTCAGGTTTATGTCTCAGTCATGCAAATATCAAACACATTTCCCTTTACCAATACTTATTTTTTACCATGAAGAACCCCAATAAAACCCCACCCCCCACCCCTCCCCGTCCCTGTGAGGCAGATGAACACTCTATCTGTTTTGATTAGATTCATTGTTTCAATAAAAGATTCACCACTATTATAAAGAAAGCTTTTTTACTTCATCTCAGAGTTCTAATAGAGTAATTTGCTTACAAACCTCTACAGGGAACATGTAATGTGTAGCAAATTCCAGATTTATTTTACCCAGAACACTAATTTTCCAAGAAATTTAAAATGCTAACTAATTTGAACTTCATCTTGTTAATTAAGAGTAATTATATTACTATATTAAAACCATTAAAGCTTTAGAACCAAAATAACCCCCAACTCAATTAAGACAACTTTCTAATAACATCTAAATGTCAGTTGCTAATTACATATACTTACACATTTTAAGTGTTAGTATTTGGAGCAATTAAAATAATCCTCTTGACAACAGCCCTCAAACACCCACTAACATGCTACTCTCCATTCTCAACTTATTGTGAAATACTTAACACTAAAAATTCAGTAATGAATATACACTAATAGGCTTCTGCCATGCAAATATACCAAATGACTTCATTCAGCCTGTTTGCCTTTGTTCAGATTCTATATATTTGGGCTATAATAAACAGTCAAATACAAACACTTTTCTCTTGCTGAACACTTTGACAATTCGCTGCATCCACTACAACCTTATTACCAAATTCAAAAATACCTGTCTGGCAGGGAAACAGCTCAAAGAACCAAAGCATATGCCTGGCACACCGGAGTCCAGGGTTCCATGCCCCAAACCACTCAGCAATGCCAGGAGCAACCTCCCTTCACCCCCAAACCAAGATGGATGTGGTCCCAAAATGTGTGTGTGTGTGTGTGTGTGTGTGTGTGTGTGTGTGTGTGAGAGAGAGACTGTCTCCTAAGAACAGAAACATTTTCCTAAATAACCACAATTAATGTATTCAAAACAGTTATCACTGGGAAAACACCATTAAGCTAACTCTTAGTCATTCAAATTTTCAAACTTTTCCATGTGTCCAAGGAATGTCATTTACAACAAATTCACTGTGACTGGAGAAATGTTATTTGATCTCCTTCCTGACCACACAAGCCAACTATTAAGAGAGCGGGAGTCAGGGAGGAAGCACCACAACCTGGAGCACATGCTCAGGAAGTGAGTAGACAGTGCTCATGCCACAGAAGTGTCCCAAGCACCACCAGGAGAGACTCCCGAGCATCAGACAGGACTGCCGCTGAACAACCAGTGGGTATGCTCTCCGAACAAGCAAAGAGAAGAGCAACGGACCAGGAGAGGTAGAGTGCCTGCCTTGCATGCCGGAGGACCAAATTTGATTCCCTGCTTACCACTACTGCGGGGTGGAATCGTGGTGGCCCCAAGGTCCCACAGCACCACTTTGAACCACTGTGGAGATCAGCAGGCGCACACTACCCAGCCACGTACAACCAAGAGTGACCCCAGGTTCTTGAGCGCACAGAGCGTACCTCCCTTCCATAAAAAATAAATGACCAAACATGTGGGCAAAGAAAACTGCCTTTAGGATAAACATCTTGTCCAAATGCAAGATGCAAATAATTGCTAAAAATGCTTAAATGATTTTACGTGACTAAATTTCCAAACCTGGTTTAACTTGATTTCACTAGATGTTAATTAAATACGTAAGCCATATTTGAAAGTTAATAAACCCCGATAAAGTCATGGCAATGACTGGAATGTTTGGTAGAAACGAACTCTTCACAGAGTTTCACAGAGTAAAAACTACAAAGAGTTTAAAGACTGTAAAGACTGAAAAATAACTAAATTCTAAAATCAAAAAATGGGTATTAAGCAAAGTGTGTTACACATATTATGCAATCATAATGCAAAGAAACCAATAGATTACCAAATATGAAATGAAGAGAATCAAAGCATCTCAATTTTAACAACGACTACATTGAATGGGAAGAAACCCACTCCCAGAGTATTTCTGGGCATCTCCCTACTACCCTAAATTATTTCCTAAAGAACTTAAATTCCTCTTAACTAAGAGCTAGGTCTTTGAAGGAAAAAGCAGAATAGTTAAATCATGGGCAAATCCAATCAAGGTTTTTTGAAAGTTTACATGCTGGCCTGGAGGAAGAGTGATAGGACAGGGGAAAGACACAAGTCTCGCAAGCAGCTGATCCCAGCTGGATCCCAGGTATAGCAAGGTCCCCAGGAGCATTGTTAGGGCACAACCCTGGAGGGCTCCAAGCACCACATGGCAGGTCAGGAAATCCCTGGAACGTGAGGGCCTGAGCAGCACTGCATCCCTGGTCCTCACGTTGGACCACTTGGCCAAGAATCACAGCAGGAGGCAGGCCAACCCTTGGGCCTCCCAAGCACCGTGTGGGAGGCTCCTCTGTCTAAACGGGCCGCCTGGAATAAGGCTCTGAGGGGAGTGGGCATGCTCAAGGCTCCTAACACCACAGTGTGCTCCTAATGGCCCCGGGGCTGAGAAGGCTCCTGCTAAAAAACAAACACTCCTCCCAAGAGCCATTTGGGACTTGCTCTTCAGGCCCGTGTTCTCCCCTGAACACAGATCTGGCTTCCTTGTCTCTATGTCTCTGATGCTTTTTCCACGCTGGAGAAGCTTATGTTGGCCTTGAAGGACTATATATCCTCTCTTTCTTTTCCCTCACATCTAAGGAAGTTTCAAAAAAATCTACTTTGCTTCACTGAGAGAAAGAGACAGAGAGAGAGAAGCACATTACCCCACTATAGATTCTCAAAATACTTCAATTTATAGGGAATTACAATAAATTACGAAAAAGTTCGATAAAATACTCAACTTTGAAATACAGCATTGCCAAAGTGGTCACCAAAAATTGCTTTACTTTACCCATCCAAATTGTTTTGTCCATTTTCCTAATTCTTTATGCAAATGCAAATAATTTCTAATGGATTCTTTTTGCATCTGTCATTTCTAATTAAACAAAAATTCAAAACCTAAGCCTGATAGTCTCCACAATTTATGTAAAAGCTCTTGCTCACAGGAGCTGGAGCGATAGTACAGTGGGTAGGACACTCGCCTAACCTGGGTTTGATTCCCGAGCATTCCTGGGCCCACCAGGAATGAATCCTGAGCCCAGAGCCAGGAGTAATCCCTGAGCGCAGCCATGTGAACCAAAAATACTAAGCTCTTGCTCATAATTTTTTTCCATAGATAGTTTTTAGATTTTCAATTAAAATTTTATAATCAGAAAGTGAACTGTTAAGATTCTAAAAACACTTAGGAAAAATCTGCCTTTTAACTAGCATCTCTCTCACACACACACACACACACACACTCTTCATTCTGCCTTTTAACTAGCATCTCTCACACACACACACACACACACACACTTCAGTCTGCCTTATAACTAGCATCACACGCACATACACGTGCACACACACGTGCACACGCATACACACTTCAGTCTGCCTTATGATACACACACATGCACGAGCACACATGTACATACACACGTGCGCGTGCACGCGCGCACACACACACACACGCATGCTTGGTCAATCCTCGCCCCACTGATCAGTCTCTGGAGTAAGTCCGCAGTCTGCAGTTCTCTAGCCCAGCCAGCCCACAGAACCTTCCCGGCAGTCTGCCCAAAGCATAGCCAACCCCCCAAACTAAACCCAGCCCACAGAGCAGGCTAAGCAGCAGCAGGTATCGCACTAGCTAAAAACTGTAATTCTGTAACACTGAACTTAGTCAAATACTACATGACCTACACCGGTTCTACTCTTAGCTGGTCTAAAACAACTGAAGAATCTTGATTTAAAGTATCTCCTAGAATCCACTTTATCAGTTACATTTGCAACTTGAGCTGGAGAACACAATCTTTTGTTGTTTGCTGTCTGGGTGATTTGGGTGGGGACACTCAGCTATACTCAGGGCTACTCCTGGAAGCAGGAAGACTTGGAAGCTCTGGGTCAGTCCGCAGGTGCTGGGGGGACCAAGTGGTCCGGCCATCAAACCCAGCATGCAAATCCTGTGCTCCAGCCTTTGGCCTGTCTTTGGCACAAGAACACAACTCTCAATCTTCTCATTCCCACCTCTTCAAGATGTTCTAAGTAAGCAAAGCCATACCAGCAATACATATGGAAAAAGGGATAAATGGAACAGTGTAAGACTTGGCAGAAGAAATCCGTGACAAATATCCACATACTTACACACGAAAAAAGAAAAAGAAAAAAGGTTAATAAAGACAAGAGAAACACATCAATGAAAACAGTTAACAGATTATTCCCCCACCCCCGTCCCGTAGATGAATAACTGCTAATAGTACAAAGAGTATACAATAGCGGTGACTCCAGATGAGAACTGGGTGCTGAAAGGAAGGAAAATGGTAGCATAATACCCTATCAGCAGCAGTATTGTAAACCACAGTGCCTACGAGGGGAAAAAAGGAAGAAAAATGTGCTGGCCATAGAGGCAGGCTGGGGGTAGGAGGGAAACTGTGGACATCCAGGGAGGAAAGTGGACACTGGGGAAGGGATTGGTGTTGGTACACGGTACACCCCTGAAACCCAATCATGAATAACTTTGTAGCTCTGAATCACAAACTTTATTCAAATGACATGAACTATGTTATGTATCTCCATAAATAACGTAGTACAAAATTCTGCTTCAATTCTGCTGTTTCTCATTCATTTTTCATTATATTTAATTTAGTTCAATTTACTGAATATAAAAAATTTAATTCACTATACAGTATCAGCAACATTAGAACTTAGTTTCTCATTTAAAAACAAGTAATAAAGGAAAAGAATGTGGCAGAAATTACAATCTTTAGCTCTAAATTCTTATGGCTCTTCCATTTTGCAGGGACTCCTTCCTTCAAACTTTCCTGGTTCCACTTGTACCAGTGACTACACTAAATAATGGCAAAGATTACAAACAAATAGAAGACTGTCATCACTCTCCAGGTTTCCATTACCCAATTCGTTTGCAAAACTCCTACCTCAAAGATTTGTTCAAAATTCTGAAACTCCTGTAATCGTGCCTGAAATCCTTCAGCAAGCGCCCCACCTGTTAATATTTAGGTGAGAATCATTAAAGCTGGTATACAGCAAGCAAAGATTTACAGTAAGTTGTTTTTATAACCTGCACTTGTATTTCAAAACCAGAAACAAATACATACCACCTTCTGGCATGCCCTGTGCTTTGTGCTTCCTAGCACTGAGAACTTCCTTTGCCGAAACAAAGAAGATCCGATTTCGAGCTTCTGAAGGGTCCACAACTTTGAGCTCCTCTACCAAGAAATGCAGACATCTTTCCATGTGCTGTCTACGTACCTAGGAAAAAAGACAGGTATTAATACAATTTTTTGTTGTTGTTGAGGCCACACCCAGCTATGCTCAGGCCTTACTCCTGGCTCAGCACTCGGGTCATCCTGGTGAGCTTGGGGGAGCACATGAGGGGCCCGGATTGAACCCAGATCGGGGGCTTGCAAGGAAAGTGCCTTACCCACTGTACTATTAATACTGTTTTATTAATATATCAATAAATAACCTCTATTAATACAGTTTTGGGCTGGAGCGATAGCACAGCGGTAGGGCGTTTGCCTTGCACGCAGCCAACATGGCCGACCCGAGTTCGATTCCTCGGCCCCTCTCGGAGAGCCCAGCAAGCTACCGAGAGTATCTCGCCCGCACGGCAGAGCCTGGCAAGCTCCCCGTGACGTATTCGATATGCCAGACACAGTAACAACAAAGTCTCCAATGGAGACGTTACTGGGCCCGCTCGAGCAAATCGATGAACAACAGGAGGGCCTTTACCTTTACCTTTAATAATACAGTTTTAATAAATGTAATTATATCTACAGTCCTGCCCTGAACTCTCCTTTTTTTTCTGTTTTTTTTTTGTTTGTTTTTTTTTTGCTTTTTGGATCACACCTGGTGATGCACAGGGTTTACTCCTGGGTCTGCACTCAGGAATCACTCCCAGCAGCGCTCTGGGGGAGCATATGGGATGCTGGGAATCGAATCCGGGTTGGCCACATGCAAGGCAAATGCCCTACCCGCTGGGCTATCGCTCCAGCTCCTGAACCCGTTATAATATTACTTGATAAAATTAATTCTAAGGGCTGGCACAATCGCTCAAGTGGTAGGCACAATGCCTAGTCTGTATAAGGCCCTGACTTTGGTTCTTAGCTCTGGATGGCCCCCAAGCATTACCGAGAGTACCCGATTACATGAACACATTCTAGTATGGGACCAGAGAGAGAGAGATGGGCTTGCTTGCCCTGCACAAGTGGACCCTAGTTCAATTCCTGGCATGACTAGCATCTGAATGGATTTCCAAGCACACAGTCAGGAATAAGCCTTAAGCACTTCTATGTCCGGCCCAAGCCCTTTTCCTCCAATGCCAAATTCTGATAAAGTTTGATACCTGCAGACAGAAAATTATCTTTTTCTCAATATAGGTGGGCCTCCACAGCTCTGCCTGGGCCACAGAGACCACTCTTGTTAATACTCTAGACTCAGTATGGGTCTGAAGGTTTGGTACTGGGGTATTTGTGGGGGCTGTGCAGGCATACCTGGTGATACTCGGGAGTTATTCCTGTCTCACACCCAGGAATTATTCCCGGCAGTGCTTGAGAGTTGAGGGGTGATATGGGATGCTGGGGATCAAATCCAGGTCGGCCACATGCAAGGCAAACATCCTATCTGCTCTACTACGGCTCTGGCCCCACTTGCTGTCTCTAAAAGTAATGTGATCTTCCCTTGGCAGTGTGTGTGTGTGTGTGTGTGTGTGGGGGGGGGGGGGGGGGGCGGGGGGGGGGGGAGATCTCTGGGACACAGTCATCTGGATTTCTCAATCAACTAGTGGGAATAGAAATTAGCACAAGTATTATAGAAAACAGGCCGTGCGCACTAAAACAGCCAGCCCTTTTAAAATTGTCGAAGTTTTATTCTTTTAAGTAAATTTTTTTACTTGAGATGATTACTGATTCACATGCAACTATAAAACAACATGGGTTCTATGTACCCTATACTCCACTCCACTTTCCTGAATCGTAACATTAAAAAAAAAAAAAAACCCTGCTTTCTACACAAGTGTGTCTCTGACACTCTTGAAGCATTTTAAAAGGCAAAAGCGTTAGCTAGGCGGGGGGATGGGTACTCGATCATTGTATAACTGAAACCCAAGCACAAAAATTTGTAAGTCTACAACTGTACCTCATGATGTTTCTCTAAAAAAAGAGTGGAGTTTCCAACAATGTAAATCATAATTCAAATAAATGGGTTTTTTAATGGTAAAAAAAAAAAAGCGTTAGCTAGCTCAGAACTCATTTCTCCACTCAGGAAGAGTTAATCCCGCTAGCATGTTTATGAAAAGTCTGTCCTTCCTCCTATCAGTTTTGGGTATTTTTTTTGCTTTTTTTGGTTCACACCCAGCGATGTTCAGGGGTTCCTCCTGGCTCTGCACTCAGGAATTACTCCTGGCAGTGCTTGGGGGACCCTATGGGATGCTGGGGATTGAACCCAGGTCGGTCGTATGCAAGGCAAACGCCCTCCCCCCTGTACCATCACTCTGGCCCCTCAATCAGCTTTAAGAAAAAAAATCCTGAGAGTTGTGTATCAGTCCGGTTTCCTGCCTTCTCCCTTTCATTTATGTGCTTGTCCCTCCCTCCATATCTACAGCCTTAAAGGTACTCAGAAGAATGATCCTTTCCACTTGTTTTTCTTCAAAGTTATTGTAAATAAAACTGCTCTTATTCACAACCAACACAAAGAAATGACTAATGACTATATAAAATCCCAAGGAACTAGTGAGCCAATAACAAGTCAGTTAAGTAGGAGGTTACAAGATAAACAGAAAAGAATCTGTCACGTGAACTCAGGGGCTCTGAAGTGGAAAATCCAGTCACATTCATGTAAATGCAAATGAAACACTTTAGGCCAAATCTTAGGAAAGCACATACAAGATCTGAACATGGAAAAATATAAACTCAGCAGCAGCTTCTTAACCTGCAATCCATCCATTCTACCACAAAAGCTAAACCTGTGAAGTACTGATTTCTCTGCATTGACATTTAAGGTTCTGAGGAATCTTTGAGGCTGGGGAAAGTGGGAATGGAGATGACTGCTCTGTGTATGTGTAACTGTATCCCTAGGAAAAAACGCCCCGACCCAGGGCCAGGCTCAGGTGGTAAGACCCTGGTTAAGCCACAGCACTGCCCCCACCTTTGCCAAGACCACTAGGGGCGGCCCCTGTAAGAACTGTCCCCACACCAGGCAGACTTCATTTGGGGGACCTGGGGGGGGGGCGGTAGGTGAGTCCCTTTGCTGCCCCAACAGAACACAGGCAGCCACAAACGCCAGAACCCAATTACCGCCATGCTAAAGGCCGATCTCTACAGGCTCATGGCAAGCCCCTCTTTCATGAGAACGAATCTGATGAAAAGCCCAGGTATGTGGCGTTTGTAACTAAAACCCCCAGGCTCGAATAGTAGGGAATGGATGCCCTCCTCCAATCTCCCTGTACTTCCAGGTTAAGGAAAACTTTTCGGGTAACTTTTAGTGGATAACAAGCAACAATAACAAGCAACATAACAAGCAACACAAAATAAATTACTTAGCATCTGCCTTTGGGGCAGGCTTGGGCAGTGGTGGGGAAGTTCGAAATAATGGTGGTGGATTGGTGTTGAAATATTGAATGCAAAAAATTATTTTGAACAACTTTATAAAAAAAAAATTGTCCAAATTATCTCTCAATCGAACCACTGGTATCTGCCCCAAAACACCTACCTGCATGTACCAAAAAGAGACGAGAATGTGCACAGTACTATTAAGAAAAGCTGGCTATAGGAAAAAACCAAAGTGCCCATCCTGGAAAAAAAATCAATGGCTCATCTTCATTCGTATTGTAAAGTACAATGAGAGACCACATCTGAAAAATCCAATGAGGCGAGGAAGATGGCACACAGGGCTGAAGCATACGCTCTGCATGCAGGAGACCTGTGACACCACACGGTCTCCTGTCCCCAAAACTGCCAGGTGTGGCTCCCCCAAAGCAATCAGGGCCAAAGCGCACAGTTGACCCAGGTTCGATCCCAGGCAGCCCATATTGGATGTGACCCCAAAATCAACCTGCCCCTCCCTGCCAAAACCCAATGAGAATGTACCTCAACTTTTGGCCAATAGCACAAATGCACATTCCAAATGTAAAGATGAGTCCAAGAAGCCTTATCCAGGAGCCAGAGAGATTATAGTGGGTGGAGCACCTGCCTTGCCTACTGTCCACCGAGATTCAGTCCCCAGCACTGCCAGGTGTGTCCCTGCCCACAAAAAAAAATTTCAGAAACTCGCGCCCCAGCACTATCTTACAGCACACAGCAACAAAGAAGAAAACTGGCTGGAGGGCCCCACAGCTCCCGGAGAATGCTCAGGGCCCCATACAGAGCCGTTATCACGGGGAGGTCCCAGATGGGGTAGGTGCTGCCGTCCCGCCTTCTCCAGATGGAATCCCGGTGACCATGAGCTTCTACAAGCATGGCTCTGGCATGCGGGTACCAGGACATATTTTCCGAACTGAGGTCGCTAATGAGGCTGCGCGACATTTTCTTATATGCAAAGTGATCAATGGAAAGTAAATCATCCAACATTTCTCCCTGAAAATCAGGCTTGAATGGGGTGGGAAAATCTGAGCAAATGATAATGCCCAACCGAAATGCATCTGGACCGTGTATTTAACTATGTGCTATGCCACCCTGGGAGGGGAAGGGTGTCTGTCCCTCCGCGTGTCCCCCTCTGTGCGACATGGTATCCTGCATTTCTTAGAGCCAGGTCTGAATGTTGGGGAAAATTCCAAATAACAGAGGTGGGTCTTTTGTTGTAATATTGAATGTGATCAACAGAGAGAGAGCAGAGAGAGAGAGAGAGAGAGAGAGAGAGAATGTAAAGTGGAAATCTGCCACACAGGTGGGGAGGTGGGTGGGAGGGGGGGTATACTGGGGTTCTTGGTGGTGGAAAATGTGCACTGGACGGGTGTTTGATCATTGTATATCCAAAACTATATAGTGTATTATTCCACAATATATAGTTGAACAAACTGATAAATTAATCTAGAGCATTAGGAGTTATGATAAATTGTAATCCTTGGCAGCAAACACAAAGGCTAGCAAAGTATAATTCTGGGAATTCCCTACTTCTCAATCTGAATATTTTGATTTAATAGAACTATGATTTGTACACTTTTCTAATGTTACAATAGTTTACATTATTATTTTTTAATTGAATCACCGTGAGATAGACCATTACAAAATTGTTCAAGTTACAATAGTTTTAAAAGTTTTTACATCTACAACATGTAGACAGTACTTTCATAACACAATTTTCCTTCCATAATGCTTCATACTCAGTCTCATCGCATGTTCAGTTTCTGTATTTTTCCCTCAGCTAAAGAACAGATGCCATGACTTCCATGATACATGCCATTCTCTCCAGTAACAACGTACATGGCTATACCTTGAAACTTTAAGGAAAAAATAACTTACGTCTTCCATATACTCTGGCTCCGATGCAGAGGCATCCCAACGATTATTCAGAATAAAAATATTAGGTTTGGAAAGTCGCTCATTTACCTTATGAAAAAACTGTTTCTCCTGTAGGCGGGAAAAAGGTTAAACACTGAAAGTATGTTCAAGTTTATTATGTATTTATACTTTTTAAGTAAAACTTCATTTTTTTGGGGGGGTCACGCCGACGATGCACAGGGGTTACTCCTGGCTCTGCACTAAGGAATTACTCCTGCTGGTGCTTGAGGGACCAATTGGGATGCTGGGAATCAAATCCGGGTCAGCCGCGTGGAAGGCAAACGCCCTACCCGCTGTGCTATCGCTCCAGCCCCTAAAACTTCATTTTAATCTAAAAAGTTTAACCACTTATATTATAGTGACCAGCACAACTAATAAGGGATTCCAATACTCTCTGGGCATTAAACTTCTCAAAGACAGCAAAAGTGAAGATCTTTTTGCAACTGCTACATATCAGAAGTTTTTTTCCCAACACCTATATAATGGAATTATTCTAACACAAATTTTAAACATTTACCTATCTCCTGGGCTGGAGCAATAGCACAGCGGTAGAGTATTTGCCTTGCGCGAAGCCAGCCTGGCTGAGCCGGGGTCGATTCCTCCACCCCTCTCAGAGACCGGCAAGCTACCGAGAGTATCTCGCCCGCACGGCAAAGCCTGGCAAGCTATCCGTGACGTATTCAATATGCCAAACACAGTAACAACAAGTCTCAAAAACTGGAGACGTTACTGGGCCCGCTCAAGCAAATCGATGAACAATGGGAGGACAGTGTTTGTTTGTTTTTACCTGTCTCCTATAATCTCAGCTATTAAAAACAACAGTGTTGTATCACAGCACCCAGCCTTGACTGGAATATGCAAACACTAACATAGTGACAGAATATAAGTCTTACTAGTAATGTGAGCTCATCCTCTGCCATTTAGGAGCTTGAGTAAATGACTTTTAAAAATATAAGACTGGTGATGAGCAGTAAATAAATAAAATAAAATAAAATGTAACATATAATATAAAAACAAACAAAAACACACTGTCCTCCCGTTGTTCATCGATTTGCTCGAGCGGGCCCAGTAACGTCTCCATTTTGAGACTTGTTGTTACTGTCTGGCATATTGAATACATCAAGGGAAGCTTGCCAGGCTTTGCTGTGAGAACAAGATATTCTCGGTAGCTTGCCGGGCTCTCCGAGAGAGGCGGAGGAATCGACGAACCCAGCTCGGCCGGGCTGGCTGAGCGCAAGGCAAACGCCCTACTGCTGTGCTATCACTCCAGCCCACATAATATAAAATAATGTATTTTTATATAAAATTTGAATGTTGTAGTGATTTTATTCTTGCTATGATTATTTTGTGAACGATGCAACTAAATGAGCATGCTTCAATAATCTTTAAGTCATCGACTAAACTTAATAACCTATTACTGAATATTGAGTTGTTTATACAAAATATGTCTTCGTATAAACCAACAAATAAGTGCAAACTGTGATAAGAATCTTGACAATATATTCTTACTAAATTTTATGTGGTTTAAAAACTTTTTAAAGGTAAAAATAAATTAAAAATAGGACTAGAGGGATAGTATAGCAGGCCATGCATGTGGCTGACCCAAGCTCAACCCCCAGCACCACATATGGTCTCTGAGTCCCACCAAGAGTGATCTCAGAACACAGAGCCAGGAGTAAGGCCAAGCACTGTGGTGCGGACCAAAATAATATACATATATATATTATAGCTTTGAATATTGTATATTTACACTATAAATCAATGTTTATTTGCGATTAAGTCTAACTTTAGATAGTCTGAATTTTTAAAAAAGTTTGGAATCTTAAAGAGTATACACAGGTATACCTGAGAGCATACATGAATGAAGTTAGAAAAGGTGGACAAAACTCAAAATTAAAAGCCTTCCCTGCCAAAGGAGAGTGAAGTGGGATTATTAAACTTAAAAAATTGGGGGCTCAAGTGGCAGGACAGCAGGTAGTTTGTCTTGAACATGCCAACCTGTGTTCAATCTCCAACCCCCCATCATGGTCTCGAGTCCCATCAGGATTTATCCCTGAGCGCAGACCCAAGAGTAAGTGCTGAGCACCACCTGGTGTGGCCCAAAAACACAAGAGGGAGGGAGGGATTAGTTTAAGTCAATATCCAAATATCCCATGTGTCCATTCCTAAAAACAAAATAAAGAATATCAACAACCACCCATATTACTATAGACCTTGAGACACAAAGACTCACTGAAACCTAAAGCCATTAAAACCTATTTTACAGGCTTGAGAAATAGTACATCAAGCAGGTAAGATGCCTGCCTCCTACACAGCTGATCGGCACAGGCTGGGAGTGGTCCCAAACCAAAAACAAACAAACCCACCAATTCGTTTCTAAAAATCAAAAGATCAAAATTGGCAGGAGGCCAATGGAAAGACATGCCACTTCACTGACCCTTGATACCAGAGGTTCCTTCTAATCTATGGTTTGATTTCCGCTCAGTTTACATATTAAAAATGGGCATTATTTCATTTGCTACCACACACAATACCAGGACAAAAATCTTACCGTGTTCATTAATGTGGATTCTGAGTTTGCAACCAAAACAAAGACATCAGCATCTAAGCAAAACTTGTCAATCCAGCTATCCAGTTCTGTAGTGACATCTGTTCCTGGACTAACGGGGAAAAAAAAATAAAATGCTATTAAAGAAAGACCAAGTGCCAAATGTGTACAAGTGTGACAGCCGACATGTGTGACCCCTAGCAAGTAATAGATCAATCAGGTTTTCAAGCATGACAAACAAGTGTAAGGGCACTTTTTCATGGCAGTAACAGTGGAAACAGAGGGAAGGGCAGGAGGAAACAACAATGAAACAAAAAAATTTCTTTCGGTGGGGGAAAGGGGTCCAGGAGAAACAGTTCAATAGACCAAACACATACTTTGCATGCTGGACGCTTAGGTGTGAATCCGAGCAAGGCACGGTTCCCAGAATAATGAGCCAGTAGCAGCCCCTAAGCACAGTGGGGTGTAGCTCTCCCAGATACAGTAAGTATTTTTGCAGGGACTGTGACATCACTTAACAGACAGGCCTTATTGTTTTACTAAACATTGGCGTAGTAGCAAATTATTTAAAATACATAACAAACACACATTAATCAGAGGAGTCCAGAAAGAATTATGAAAGCATTCAGTAAATTCGTCAACATCAGTCTAAAGAAACCAGCCAAAAAATTGGCTGTCCTTCAAAACTGAGGGTGTGTTTTATACACCCAGCAGTGCTCCGGGCCTCACACATGGTAGGCATATGTTCTTCTACTTGAGCTATCTGGCAGCTCTCCGTCAAATTTCTTATAATAGAATTAAGTTGATAAGCTTTTACATAATCATTAAAACAAACAAAAAACCTTATCTGTTGCTTAACAATCTAACAAGTGAATACAAAGCAGCAAATGAACATTTGAAAATTTTATGTACTATATACTAATACAAATACTATGTAAATCTTGACAAAAAGAAAATGCAATTCATATGTAATTTTTACCTGTCTACTAAAACCAGGTCATCTCTCAAGAGGGCACATTTTGCCTTTGGCCAAAACACATGTACAAGACAGCCAGCTTTCAAGTCTTTGTCCATATGAAGGGCATGGGCCAACTGATTAACTGTCTAAAGTAGGAAGAAAAGAAAACAAAGCTTTACTTCAAATATAATTTAATTAAAATTTTAAACACTATGTTCTGGTGCATTTTTATAAAATATGTACACAAAAGTAGCACTTGAAATAAAATATACAGTTGAGAAAACTGGATTTTAAAGTTACCAAGTAGAAAAAACTGGCGCCCTTTAAATAGTTTATAACATTCTGCAAAAATAATAAGGGTTGGAAACATTCTAAATGTCAAAGTAATGAAATTCTGGCAATGGAATCCTATGCACCCCTGAAACAGTATAAGGTAAAGGCCCTCCCGTTGATCGTCGATTTGCTCGAGCGGGCCCAGTAACGTCTCCATTGGAGACTTTGTTGTTACTGTGTCTGGCATATCGAATACTCTCGGTAGCTTGCCGGGCTCTCCGAGAGGGGCGGAGGAATCGAACTGGGGTCGGCCATGTTGGCCGCTTGTAAGGCGAACGTCCTACCCGCTGTGCTATCGCTCTAAGGGGGGAAAAATCAGAAAATAGCTCATATGATAAAAAAAATAATTTGAAAAAAAAATCCTTAAGAATAGAAAAACACAAATTTAACCCTATACCAAAGGGTTTTTGATGGGTTGGAGAAAACACCTGAATTTCATAGTTTCCTTTTTGCTTATATATATTTTCAGACTTCTAAAGTCAAAGTGTAAAACTTAAAAATATGGGGCATAGGCATAAAGTAAGTGTCATTATTAAAATCAGCATAAAAACAACAAAACAAAGACCATGACATATAAGAAGCTCCAGCCATAAATTTATCTGTTGAAAGTTTTTTAAAGACGTCTACTTGATATCAAAGATTCAAAGATAAACTTACACCTTCTCCTGAGATTCTCATCTATTTAAACTAAAATACTGCACTTCTCAAAATGACTTCTGATGTACATTCATTGGTTAAATAAACATGGTAATACCTTTCACATAAGGTTTAGTTAAACAGACAAAACACAATTTAAAACAAAATTATAATCAAGGCTGAGAGAATTATACTTCCCTATGGTTCATTTGTTCTTTGTATTGTTTTAAAAGGGAAAATATATTTCAAATTGGGCATAATAATCTGAATCAGAGTTGAAGTGAATACTCATAGCACTCGTAACAATGTCAGGCAGTTTTCTGCTTGCTTTCATAAACTTTTTGAAGGGTGGGGACACCCTGGTGATGTTTGAGTTACTCCTGGCTCTGCAGACAGGAGTCACTCCTGACAGTGCTTAAGGGACCACACGGGACGCTGAGGATTGAACCCAGGTTGGCCACATGCAAAGCCAAGCACTTTACCCACTGTACTATGTCTCCAGCCCTTGCTTTCATAAACTTTTTTGCTGGAATTACAAGCTTGTACTACAATCTTGATTCCTCATCTACCAAGTAAGAAAGATAACAATACGTGGTCAAGTCTGAACTAATATAAGAATTGACATTTGTGGTAAATACAAGAATAAAGAAAACTGCCTGGTACACAGCAAGGGTGCAATAAATCATTAATATTTGTATTCCATTTATTAAGTAAACATAAACAAAAAACTTGGGGGCGGGGATGGATCACACCTGGCATAATGGCTCAAGGATCACTCTCCTGGGGTTCTCAGGGAACCATATAGGGTGTTGGGGACTGAACTTTGGTCAGCCATGTGCAAGGCAAGCACCCTCCCTGTTGTACTGTCACTCAGTTCTACAAAAGACTTTAAAGTCTACAGATGATTATCTTAAAATATCACAGCATGCTTTGAGACTCTAAAACCATTAACAATGTGAATTCTGACGCAGTTAATATCTTTACTGGAAATAATTCATTTGCACTGGTTAAAAATAACAGTAATATTTTTATTTATTTCTCCAACTGAAGAGTATTATAGAGATCAAGTTACCTGATCTAGATCAAATAGTAAATTCACAGGAAAAGAAATAGACTGAATTCACCATAGTTTTGCAAAAACAGACAGGAAGGATCCTGAAAGAGTGAACTTTTCTACTTGCGGAAATCTTAAGAACTAAAGAGAAAATGACTAATGAGAGACACAGTTCCCTTCACCAGCTGCTTTCATTCGGAGTTAGCATCTTGAATACCAATTTCCTTTTCTATTTTTTTCTCTTTTCGTGAAGGAATCTAGTGTTTAATGAATCCCTTAAATATTTCTGTGACAGGTAAAGAAACTGCCATTGCCCCTTACCTGATAAAGCTACACAACCTTCAGCAGTGAATATGATGGCCATATACTGAGAAAATAGAAAATTTCTAAAAACACAGATTTGTCAAACACAGACTGCAGAGCCCAAATTTTACAAATCAAAAGCTCACAGGCTGGAGCACATGCTTTGCACCGGGGAAGCCAAAGTGTCACCCACAACACTGCAAGGTGCCCTGGACACTGCCGGGGTAACCCCCAAATACCAAGTAGCCCAAAAATTGCCAGTCACATGTGATCCAAAGACAAACAAAAAAGAAGTTTTAATCTAAAAGATTTAAGATTAAAACAGCAATAACACACTGAAGTAATGTTTTCACTGTGAATGTAATTTTAATAGCAGAGCGGGTAGGCCATTTGCCTTGCACGTGGCCAACCCAGCTGACCCAGGTTCAAGTCCTCCGCCCCTCTCGGACATCCCGGCAAGCTACCGAGAGTATCTCACCTGCACAGCAAAGCCTGGCAAGCTCCCCGTGATGTATTTGATATGCCAAACACAGTAACAATAAGTCTCACAATGGAGACGTTACTGGGCCCGCTCGAGCAAATGGATGAGCAACGGGAGGACAGTGCTACAGTGCTACATTATTTTAAAAGACTGATAACTCTTCTTTCTTACGCAGGTGGGCTGGTGGTGGTCAAGGGCTCCTAAGCAGTGCTAACAGGAACCAGCAATACTCAACCAGGCCACGGGTCAGAGCTAGGGTCCAAGAGTGCAGTGCTGCACAGGCATCAACAGGGTCAGCACCTAGGCACCTCCTGAGCTATACCCCAGGATGTTGGGGGGAGGAGGCCATTTTGGGGGGGTGGCAAAATGGGCCACACACGCTCACCCCCGTACTATCTCTCCCCATTCCTTTTACTAGTATTTTAAAGACAAGTTTTCTTTTCCCAGTAATTCAGTTCAGAAGCAAACCAACTTTAGAGACTTCTGAATCTCAGAGACAGCTTTACAAGTGGGAACCGTGGTTCCAGTGAGAGCACATGGCCTAAGCACATGCTCTGTGCACGGAGGCACACTGGCTGTGACTCGCCAGGCCCAGAACCCAGACACACAAAAGATCAGATGAAAGCTAGCTAGAAGAACGGCTCTTCCACTTCTGGCAATGTAGATTACCTTGATTAAACATTTTTAAAGTGGGCCTAAAAGATGGTACAGCAGGTAGGGGTCTTGCCTTGCAAGCGCCAATCCGGGTTCAATCCCAGCCACCACACACTGTCCCTGGAGCCCGTTAGGAGTGACCCCTGAGCACAAAACCAAGAGTAAGGTCCAGTCTAGGCACCACTGGGTGTGGTTCAAAAACAAACAAAAAATTTTTTTAAAGAACCCAATAAAGAATACCTTCACACTCTTCTTTTCATCTGATCCTTCAGTCATAAGGTAGGCTTTATCTCCATCAGTTCCTTCAACACTCAGGAAACAATTTGTTGTGTGGCCAATCCCACTCGGGAGGACTCTATCCCATAACATTGCATTGATAACAGAGCTCTTCCCGCTGCTAGTCCTGGAGAAGGAACAGGCCCCACAGATAAAAGAAAAAAAAAATCAATTAAGACTTTGTTCTTTCACTCAGTCTAAGGTCAACATTTTTAGAATTCAAAATGATAAAATTCCATCAGATTGTATTTTTAAGAAAAAACTGACAACTTTTTGTCAGCAGCAGACTTTTCAAAAAAACAGAGGGAACAAATCGCAGGTTTTTAATAAAGTTCTCCTTGATTACCTTTCTTGCTTCTTGTGGCCCCAAATAGCAGCCACCAAATCTATTGTAATCTTTCATCACAGGCTGTGGTCTAATGTCCAATGCCTCCTTAAGCGCAGCCTGGTTTGCTACTGCTTCAATAAATGTGTGTGACAAGTAACACTAGGTGACCTCCAAAGCTAGGTAATAAAAGGTGAGTACCTAGTCTTGTTCCCTAAAACACATTCACTGGGAGCCTTGCCAGGTAGGAGATCCAACTAACTGTCCCAAGTTTGCCATGCAGCAAGAAGGTCAAACTAAAGGTGTGCAGAGGTGCTCTTGACAGTCTAGACTTTGAGTTATTTTTGTCCACATATCAACATGTAAGTAATTCCCATTCTAATTACTGAGCCACCCCTGACCTTCACATCTCCCCTGGAGAGGCTCTAGATGTGGTGGAGCAAAGCCAAGACCTCTCTACCAGTCCCCATTTACCTTACTGATACACAGAATTTGTGAGCATAATAAAACGGTTTTGTTTGGTTTGGGTTTGGGGGCCATACCTGTGAAGAACAGAGGCTACCCCTGGCTCTGTAGTTAAGGATCACTTCAACAGGGTTCAGGGGACCACTCTCTGCCAGGAAATTTGAGCCCAGGCCACCTGCACGTACTCAGTCTTTATACAGTCCTAGCACTTGAATATTAAGGTTAGGGTAGCTAGGATAGTGCTGTTCCACTGTAAAACTGCATCCTATCTCTATGGAAAGTGCTTCACTGTTTCTTTAATCTAATTATCTCATTTTTGTGTTCTGGCTATCATTCCCAACTCCCTCCCCAGAGGAAGAAACACACAAACACCACCGAATCTTAAACACCTGAAGAATGGCTTCTATCACCACATTCGGCTTTGTCACTTATAATCTTCCCTTAAAATCAATCCTTTCAATCAGCACACAATGCCTCGATCGATGCATGATCCTCAAGAGTTGTTTGAACTCATGCCCACAATAAACATCAACTCCTCAGGTGTACCATGAACCTGTAGAAACAAACTCTGGTGGCGCTCCCAGACTGAGTGAAGTAAGCCCCAAAATGTGAACCGCCTTGTTGCCTAGCCTTTCAAAACACGGAGGAAAAAATCTTTTTTTTTTACGTCTTTCCAATTTTCATATTACCTGCCTAACATCTAATTTTATGGAAGGTCTTCTCCCAATGATTGTTTACCCTTTTCATTAGACATTCCATTTCCTGAATAATCTCATCAATTACTATTCCTCCATCACCAACTAATGATTTTCAAATTTCCTACAATTTTTATTTCATCTTCCATATCCAACTGCCCTTTAAAATAAACTTTATGCCTTTTGAGTACCAAAGTTAAACATCTGTATTATATAAAACCAAACTGTTTAACCTCTTTCATAAATGAAAAGTCAACCATGTAATCCTTGGCCGTGTCTTACCTCTCCAGAACCAATCACCAGACCAACACGATATATTCTTTATTTTTCTTTAGTTTTTTGAAGTTTCTCTGAAGTTTAGAAGCTGGGCTAAAGGTAACATAGTATCTTCCCTAGGTACTTCAATTGCCTGCTACTGCCTATCCCACTCAGTCTAATTTCTCCACAATTTCCAAGATCATATTCATAACACTGATGCTCTCATGGCTACTTTTCAAAATGAAAGAATGCTGACCTCTTTCCTAGCATTTTTAGGTCAACAATGATCTGTCCCTTATTTTCTACACCTTCTTTTACCAATGTTTACTAAAGTCCTAAATTAAACTGCTTATCATTCTTCAAAAAAAAAAAAAGTACAGTCTGTCTCTATTCATTTCCATCTGTCTTTCTGCATGGACTGGGTTTTGGAACCTTTTGCATACAAAGTGACTATTTCTTCTCAAGTAGGACAACTGAGTCATGCCCTCTCCAGGAGGCCACTTCCCTGCCACTCCGACTGTGCCTAAGCTAAGGTTGCCCTTATGGACCTACCTCACACTCAATTACATGTAAGGCTCTGAGAATGCCAACATAATGCCAACATAAACAAGACAAGAGAGACTTGTGAAGTTTTCCAGGACAAGGTACTATTAGTAAAAAAAAAGGATTGATAAATGTCAGGGCCACAAAAACTTAGAAACACCACCAAGAATAACTAAAAAGAACACATTTGATTTCTGAGGTAGTAATATTTAGGGTGAGAAAAAAAAACACTGGGGAGGAGTCAATGATACACAGATTAATGAGAATTAAAAAAACAAAAATGTTAAGATGGAAGACAGGACTGTAAATCTGTAAGGTTACTTCACTAAGTAAATAAACACTTTTACTGGTACACAGAACAAGATACTGCAGCTATCAAATATGAGCCCAATCATCTGTCCTTACATTCTCAGAGCCTAACAGCACAAAGGATAGAGTTATCAAATGACTATAAATCTCGGTTAGAGATTAATTTTCCACTTTAGCTAGTTTAATAAAAGGTGTTTCCTATTCTCCCATGGAAAGAGATTCATAGGACTGAGAATACTTTTTGAAGATAAAGCCTTATTCAACATAAGCTTAAAATAATAAATAACAAATTAAGCCCTTCATATATCCATAGCTATCCAATAGTTCTAAACTTTACAACTTAGACGTCAATGTTACAGCTGTGAATCCTTAAGAGAGGAACAAAACTGACTCTCATAAAGTCTCACCAGGAGCTAAAAATGCACACATTATGCTAAATGGCTTGAACATTTTAACATAAGCAGAAATTGCTGTGGGGAGAAGAAGGGGGAATAACACTTGTTGAAATATCAGAAACAAACATGAGGCTATGACCATGCAAGGTGGAGTCCTGGAAACTATCGAGAAAAAAATCATGAAGGATTACCTGCCAAAAAATGCCACTTTCATATGTCTCCGAGACAGCACCTCACCAATGATGGAAAGCTTGTTTTTATACCCCTGAATTTCAAAAAGATCATCTTCAGTAGCTATTCGATCAAGCTGTGAATTCTTGTAGGTTCCTGTGAAGTTGAAATAGCATTAGAAATATAAAATGAATATTATATAACAGATAGTAACCTAAGATTTGCTTAATTTTTGCTTTGTTCTACATTAACATATCACTCAAAAGACACACACACAGCGTTCATTAATGAGATTTAAATTTTATTTATCTCCTTATACTTTTCAAGTCCATGAGTAAAATACGTATAGTCTGGTAAATAATGGTAAGACTGGCTTAATTAACATTACATTCATCTTCGGTTTTCTTTCAGTGTTACCCTTTTTCCTTTTGTTTTTACTTCTGGACCACACCTTAGCAATGCTCAGGAATCACTCTTGGCGGTGCTTAGGGGACCAATGGGATGCTGGGGATCAAGGAGAGTTACCCATGTACTGTAACTCTGGCCCCTATTACAATTTACTAGCGTTGTCTCTTTTTTGCAACACTTTTCTCAAGTTCTGGAACCACTTAACCGAATTCAAAAACTTAAGCAGCTATTCACAAATCTCCTAGCATAAAGTGCAACTTGCTAAGTTTCTGGAAGATACTAAACTTCATTTTCCTTCCCATCAACTTTTTTAGAATAAAATATTTAAAAGTCTACTATGCCAGACTAAATTCTTTCCAAACTGGAAACAAAGGTTCTGTACTGCCTTTGTCTTTCTTTGTTCTCATTCAACAACAAAATTTGAATTGTGTCAGGTTTCGTTTTAGAACCCAATAATTCAAATTCCCTACTGGCAAGCTCAAAACCTGGTGAGAGAATTAGGAAGAAGAGGGAAAAAGCTTGGTTCCACTGAAATACCAAAATGCTTTCCAATCATTACTGGAGAAGTTTATAAAAAAAAAAATCCTGTCTTCATATCTTTGTAATTTTGGATATGTAATTTTACAGACCAAGAGGTTGGGAATACAACTGAGCAACAGAATACCTTCCCTGTATGTGCGAGGCCCTACGTCTGATGCCTGGCAACACAAAATAAATTACATTAAAATGTTATAAACCACGACCTTTTTATTTGGGCTTGGGGGTCGGAGGGGTGAGGCACATACAGCTCAGGCTTACTCCTGGCTCTGGACTCTGGGATCACATCTGGTGATGCTCAGATCACAGGAAATGCCACATATCAAACCTGGGTTGGCTGCTTGCAAGGCAAATGCCCTACCTGCTGCACTATGGTTCCAGCTCCAAACCAGTGAAGATTTAAATGATGAAGATGTAACACAGTCATTTTCTCCTTCCAGGGGACAATGCAGTGCCTAAGATCAAACCAGGACCTCCTACTTGCAAAGAATGCACTCCATTCATTGCGTGCTCTCTCCCACAGAAGTTGAGACATCCACCTAAACTAAGGAGGGGCTGGAGCGTTAGCACAGCGGGTAGGGCATTTGCCTTGCACGTGGCCAACCCGAGTTCAATTCCCAGCATCCCATATGGTCCCGTGAGCACCACCAGGAGTAATTTTGGAGTGCAGAGCCAGGAGTAACCCCTGTGCATTGCTGGGTGTGACCCAAAAAGAAAAAAAAAAACACCAAAACAACGGAGGGCGGTGGGAACATGAGATAAGACCAGGTGCAAGGCATGCATAAGGCCCTGGGGTCAGTCCAGGCACTGAAGAAGAAGAAAAAAAAACTGAAAGGAGAAACATATAAAATATAACGGCTCAATGTGGGTGAATTGATCTTTAGTCTGGACATTTATCTACCAGCTGTCTGATTGGGGGCAAGCTGCTTACTTTTCTGTGTCTTCATCTCTAAAATCTGGGCCAGAGAACTAGTACAGGGGTTAGGATACCACTTGTTTCATCTTTAAAAGTCAGTGATTAAAATCACTGAGTCTCCTGCCTCACGCCTGGCTGTCCTCCCTTGGAGGAGGGTGGGTTGAGTTTCCCTCCCCACCTGGAGCAGAGCCCCGGCAGCTGAAGACCTCCGGTTCCAGCCACAGCCATGCGTAAGACCACTCTCCACATGTTCGGACAAGCCTCATGCATGAAGGAACTGGCAGAGGAACCCAGGTGTGTGGGACGCAGGGCGTAGATCTCCAAGCCTGCTCGAATTGGGACTGGGTCCTCTTCCACCCATATCTTCCAGTATGTAGGCATTACACCCACCAACTGCCCCCAGTACCGTGTAATCCCATCAACGGCCAAGACCCAGAGACTATAAAACCCTGCTCTTCGCGCAACATCTTATCATCTAGTTCTTACTCTGGAGAACCTGGCAGGCTACCAAAAGTATCCTGCCCGCACGGCAGAGTCTGGCAAACTCCCCGTGTCGTATTCAGTATGCCAAAAACCAGTAACAATGATGGGTCTCATTCTCCTGACCATGAAAGAGCCTCGAATGTGGCACTTTCTAAAATGTCAAGGGCTAGGATGAAGGCGACGTTACTGGGGCTTGCTCGAAGCAATCGATGAACAATAGGATGACAGTGATACAGTGATACATCTCTAAAATCTGGGCCAGAGAACTAGTACAGGGGTTAGGATACCACTTGTTTCATCTTTAAAAGTCAGTGATTAAAATCTGTTTCAGGGGCTGGAGAGACAGTACAGAGATTACCACTGACCTTGATTTGATCCTCAACACCTGAGCACCATAAGGCCCGCCCCCCCCCCCCCCCACACACACACACACACAAAGTCGTTTGATAGGAAAATCAAATGAGATTTGTTGGCTAAGACTCCTTCGGAGATCAGATACGGTTTTGTTCTGGCATTTCTCCTAACACATAGCAGCGTGTCTTACACGTGTGTCTGTGCAGGGTGAAAGAAGAATGCAGTTCTAGGCATTCCCAACTTGAAAAACCGGGAGGAACCAACCTTCAACAAATTGTGATCCTTCAGTAACAAACTCCAGTAACTGGTCAAAGATAGAAGTAATCGCCTTCTTGGCCAGCACAAAGTGCTTCAGGGGAGAAGTCGATTCTGCCATCATGCTGGAGGGGGCAAGAGCGAGGAAAACCAACTTTACACTTGCTGAACGACGCCTTCCGGAGGCAGGGCTCCTCGAGGAAACTGAGTCAGGGCCCGAGAGACCGCCCCCCACCCCTCTAAACACGCCCCAGGGCATTCGCCTCCGATCTTCCTCCTGGATGCAACTCTCGCCCAGACCTTGGTCCTCGGGACCGTCCCCGGGACCGCCCCCCCAGCGAAGCCCCAGGCCGGGACCCGGGTGGCAGTTTCTCCCGCCGCGCCGGGGAAGCCGAAGCCCCGTGGTGCTCGCGGGCGATGCCGGCGACGCGGGTCCTGCGCCGAGCCCACCTCCCCGAGGGTCTCCCCGCGCGGCCACGGGGCTGCCGCCGGCCCCGGATCCCACGGCCGCGCCCGGCGAGCGAGGCGCAGCGCCCGCCGCAGCAGCCGGGGGCCTCGGCGGCAAGAGCCACCGGCTCGGAGCGCTCCGCCGCGGAAGGGGAGGCTCGGCGGGAAGCAGAGCTCGGCCGGGCCGTCCTCGGGCGCGCGGGGCCAGACGCCGGCGCGGGGAGAAGCGGGCGAGACCCGCGGAGCGAGCGCACCGCCGGCGCGGGCCGGGCGCGGGCGGCTCCGGGCGCCCCTCCGAGCCCTGCCCGGACGCCGCGGCCGCGCCGGACACCCACCTGGGCCCGCGGGACGCGCCGGACGCCTGCCTCGGCCCGCGGCCACCCCGCGGCCTCGCGCCGCGTCCGCCCGGGCGCCCCGGCCCGGCCTCGCGGGCTCCGCGGGTCCCGCCGGCCGCCTCGTCACGGAGCGCCGCGCGCTCGCTGCCCCCGCCGGGCCGGCCGACGAAGGTCACCCCGCGCAGCGCGGGCCGCCGGGCGCGCCACCGCCGGCCACTCACCCGGCCCGGCCGACTGGTCACCCGGCAACGGCGCTCAGCCCCTGCCCTCCGGCCGCCTCAGCCTCCGCCTGGGGAGGCGGGGACGCCGGCGGGGAGGGGCCAGAGGGCGGACACTTCCGGGCTCGCGGCCGACCCGAGTTCGATTGGCTCCGCGGCCGGAAGTGCAGCTGGGGCCGCGCGCCATTTCTCTTGAGGGCAGAAGGCGAGGCCAGAGGTGGGCAGGGCGTGCTTCCGGGGGCCGGGAGAGGAGGCGTTTCCGCTCCCCGCCCACCCTCCGCCGCTTCCCGGCCCCCGGCCCTGGCTGGCTGCCCGAGGGCCGAGTGACGCGGTAGATGAGATCGGGCTGGGGGCTGCGAGAAGGTGGGACTGCGCCTTGCGTGCCCGGCAGCGAGGGAGGAGGCTCTTCCGAAGGGACAGGAAAGCGGAAAGGAGGGCGGAGGAAGGGGAGGCGGAAGGGGAGGCGGAAGGGGCGGGGCTGACTCCGGAGACGCCCGCGGCCAGTTGCTCCCTGGACTCGCGCTTCCCAGACTTCTGCTCGGCGGTCCAGTCAAGTCCGGTTTCTGGTTAAGCCGGTCAGGGGCACGGCCGAGAGTTCTTTTCGGACGTCCTTGGTCAGGTGCAGTGACCGACTCTTCAAGCCAACCCGGTGGCCTCGGGGTGGCTCGGCGCGGGCAAGTGCGACGCCCCTTGGCGAACGCGCCCGCGCCTCTTTAACCGCGAGGCATCGCCTCTAAAACCGGGGTGCATACTCTGCCCAAACTACCTTGATGGACTTTGGGAATGCGGTGGGACGTGGCAGGTTTGGAACGGACTTTTTCTGCATTTTTGTTTTGAATGTTCTCTTCAAAATTTAACCAGTGGATTGGAAATTAAGTTCAAAAGAAAACGGGGTGCATTAGACCCACCTGCCTCGTGGGCTGCTTTGATAATAAGATTGCGTGGTGGTACGAAACCATCTAGAGTAGTGCCAGATATAGGAGAAGATCTGGGTGAACACTTCTCTTCTGTTGGGACAGATGAATACCCTCGGAAATGCAATAAATGCTTCTGTATATAAATGAAAGCACTTCTAAAAAGTGCTCACTTCCCCGAAGAAGGACGCGAAGGTGGCAAAAGGCTTGGCTCTGAACGAAAACGAGGCTAAGTGGCATGGCAGGTCCACTCTGAGGAGGAGCTGGTGCTTCCTGGCTCTTCCTCAGGAAGCAAACCTTGCAGTATCTGGAGCGTCCTCGGTGGTGGAAACAGAAGTCCAGAGGTCCATGGGGAGGAGATTGGTATGGTCAGTGAAAAGGACAAAAAAGCCAAAATGGCAGGGTGTAGGGAGAAAGAAAGAAGAATGAAAGAATTGTGGAAAACAGGTTTAGAAATCATATAGGCTAAGATCCGAAGTTTGAGTCTTACTCTAGGTGCAGAGTCTCTACATCTGGGAATTAATATGACTGGGTGTACATTTTAAAAGTTTGTTTTGAGGACTGGAGAAATAGTACAGCATTGCCCCCTGAGCAGCAGCAGGAGAGATCTCTGAGCAGGAGAAAGCCTTAAACACTGCCAGATATGACCCCAAAACCAAGAAGAAGAAGTAAAAGAAAATACCTTTGATTGCTTTACGCACTATCCAACCTCCTTAGACCTACAGACCAGCACCTGGCCTGCTTACAATCCAGCACTTAAAACCAGCACTTATAACCAAGATGGAAACCAATGGTATTTAAACTTTCTACATCTGCAGACCGGCACTGGTCTGCGACGTGGCAGTTGAAAACCATTGTACTACATTGTAGAGAAATTCTATCCAGTGCTTTTTAAGGCGTTTGGCTTGCACGCAGCCAGCCCACCCGAGCCGGGTTCAGTTCTTCCGCCCCTCTCGGAAAGCCGGGCAAGCTACTGAGAGTATCTCGCCAGTACGGCAAAGCCTGGCAGGCTACCTGTGACGTATTCAATATGCCAAACACAGTAACCAGTCTCATGATGGAGACGTTACTGGGCCCACTGGAGCTAATCGATGAACAATGGGAGGACAGTGACGATGACGTGACTAACTTAGGAATTGCAGTTTTTTAAGGGCAAGAGATGTAGTACAGGAGGTAAGGCACTTGCCTTGCCTGCAGCCAACACTGATTCCATTCCCAGCAGTGCATGTACTCCAAGCACTGCCAGGAGTAATGCCTGAGTAATGCACCAGGAATAAGCACAGCTGGGTGTAGCCAAAAAAAAAAAAAAATGTCTGGGTCATAATTATACATAGCCCAACAGACTGGAGAGCATGCTTTGCACGCAGTAGGCCCATATCTTATCTCCAGTACCACATGGTATCCCAACCATCACAGCCAGAAGTAGTTCAAGTACCATAGGGTGCCCTTGTGCCAAATGAAAAACAAAGCAAGTGAAAGGGAAGAAATTTTTTTTGGCTTATTTTTCTTTGGGGGCCCACACCTATAGTCTCTGGAGCTTCTTCCAACTCTCTGCTCAGGGTCACTTCCAGGATTGGTAAGGGGACCATGGGTTCTGGGAATCCAATTCAGGCTGCTTGCATGCAAAGTATGCACTTGGTCCCTTGAGCTTTCTCTCTGGCCCTGAAATTTTTTATTTGTGTGTTTTAGGGTCACACTCAGGAATGGTCAGGGGTTAGTCCTGGCTCTGTACTCAGGAATTACTCCTGGTAATGCTCGGGATCATACAGGATGTCAGGGACGATACCTAGACTGGCCACATCAAGGCACGCATTCTACCCACTGTAATATCTCTTTGACCTCTGACCCTGAAATTTCTTAATTTTCTATTTTTCTTTATATTTTTAAAAAATTTATTCTGAAGGTAGTGACACCTACACATATAGATGAATAAAGCAAACTGAAATTTTACAAAATTATGCATCAATGAGTAGATAAAATATTTTAAACTGTATCTTTTGACAGGTACATACATTTAAAAATTAATTGTATAATTCTATGTTGATACATTTTCTAATTTACATTAAATAAATAAATCCTACAAATGTACAATTCAGTAAAAGTGGGAGGAATTTAGAAGATTTTAAGGAAGAATATTAATAGGCCTATAAAAGTACAAAAGTGTATTATATTCTAAAAAGGGAATATTGGTGTTATGTTAGAAAATGCTAAATTATGGATAATGCTTAAGATTCTGCAATAAAATAAAAGATCACAATGAGAATCTCTATTGATGTTTTTAAAAATCACCTGGATATAGAAAATGTGTCATAAAACAGTATATGAAACACTAATTTAATTACTGAAAAAGTATAAAACACCTCAGCAAGGTAAGAATAAACAGACCATCCCCAACCCTCTCTGCTCTGTCTTGTTTGGGGAAAACACCTAGTAATGCTCAAGGCTTACTCCTGGTCTGCACTCAGGGGACACTCCTGGAGGTGCTTGAAGTGCTTGAGGTACCATGTGGGTTGCTGGGCATCAACCCAGGTCAGCTGCTTGCAGAGCAAACACCCACCCACTGTGCTTTGGCTCCAGCCCCTAAACAGACCATTCTAATCTAGTAGAGAGCAACCATAAGAGCCATGAGTGAAAAATTTGCCTTATCTTTAAAAAAAAAAACTTTAACACCTCATCCAAAACTAGTTTCAAGGCTCTAAATTCCATTAGCTTTCATCTGTCCCTCAGTACTATTTTGTTCCTTCAAATCTAAATGATACTCTAACTGGATGGACTTGTCTTAGTTTTTTTTGTTTTTAAAAATTATTATATCCTTCCATTCCCTTCTGGTTCATAATCTAATAGATCTGCTGTGAATTTTTTTTATTTTATTGAATCACTGTGAGATAGTTATAAGCTTTCATGTTTGGGTTACAATCACACAATGATCAAATACCCATCCCTCCAGCAGTGCACATTCCCCACTACCAATATCCCCGGTATAACCCCTCTTTCCACCCTCCCTCTATCTCCATGGCAGATATGATCACTTGACTTCCCATTAATCGTGGATTTGCTCCAGCGGGCGCCAGTAACGTCTCCATTTGTCCCTGTCGCATGCTAGTGTAGCCCAATGGCGTCTGTTCGCTCTAGGAACACGAAGAGCCTCAAACCGATCGTTCATGATCTTGATGAAGAAGTCTAACCATCTGGTAGGTGGGCGGCCACGCGGTCTTTTGACATCCCGTGGAATCCAGTCTGTAACAGCTCTAGTCCAGCGGTCGTCTTTAAATCTCATTATGTGACCAGTCCATCTGATTTTTGATGCCTTGGCAAACGAGACAGCGTCCCTGATTCTTGATCATCGATGGAGGTCGGAACTCCGGATTCTTTCTCTCATTTGAGTGAAACGTGATATTCCAAGCATAGCTCTTTCAGTTCCTCTTTGGGAGACCCAAATAGCATTCTCATCCTGCTTGCATAGGGCCCAGGTCTCTGAGGTCTCTGAGGTATATGTTAATGCAGGAAGAACAGTGGAATCAAAGAGATGTGCCCGGAGCCGGAGGTTCTTCGTCCTCTTAGCTATTTCTTCGATGCTCTTGAAGGCGTTCCAAGCCGCTCTCTTCCTCCTGCGCAGCTCGGGTGCCAGGTCATTTGTCATGTTGACTTCTCGATCTAGGTACACATAGCTGTTGCATTCGGAGATGGTCGTTCCATTGAGAGCGAATGGGGCATCAGGAACGAGGCTGATTCTCATAAAAATTGTCTTCGTAAGATTCAGCTGTAGACCGACCTTTTCACACTCACGGTCGAAATCAGCCAGCATTTGTGCCGCTTGGCTGATGTTTGGTGTTATTAAAACAATGTCATCAGCAAAGTGGAGGTGGTGTAGTTGCCGACCATCTATCTTCACTCCCATTCCTTCCCATTCCAGTCGTCGCATGACGTTCTCGAGGGTGGCACTGAAGAGTT